CTTGTTCGTTTCGCTTTGTTTCTCCGCCTTCGAAAAGCATCCAACTGTTGCTTCCTTGTAGCCTTTTGCCTGCTGCCTGCTGTTACACTTATCGTATAACACTTCATTAGCACTGGCAATATGTTGCTACGCCCACGCCCACGCCCACTCCTACTCCCCCCTTAACATATTGTAAATTCCAAACGGGTCCATGAATAATTCACACTGTCGTGCTTTCTTGGCCACTAAACAACACAAGACAACAACGCAACTCCTCCGACGTCCTGACATTGACGTCAAAAACACAAAGCGCCAAGCGCAAACAGCTGGCCAACTGGCCGCCCACTCTTTTGTTGGCTAAAAGAGAGCCTACCCAAACTGGCCAAGAAGAGCGAACTAAGAGCGGTTTCCTTGGACTGCGCATCCTGCAGCGCGCAGCGCGTGTAAATCCGCATGAATGGTCGACATGAATGGGAAAATATATATATATGGTATATATATATATATATCTAGAAAGAGAGTGGAGCCAGCGAGACTGGCGCACATGTAAACCAATACTATGTGGGGGCACAAATTTAATTATGCGCGCTTTTTTCGCTGCCTCGCCATATGCTTGGACTTTTGGCATAGAAATTGTGTCGCTGGAGCGGGTTAAATTTGCAATATTTGTAGTCGCTAGTCGCTGGGTTTCTTTGCATTCGCTTTGTGCTTTTTGCTTGGCTTTAACCTGTTTTGCAGATTGCAACGCTCCGGTCCGGCGGCTCATTGGAAATGTCAAAGTTAAGCAATACACCAACCAATACGGATATACAATAAACATACTATACAGATATAAAGACGTTAGACGTTAGACGATAGACCATATTGAAAGTATCGTCCGTGCACAGCTCGAACTAGTTATTCAAATATACTCTCGAGAGTCAAGACTTTTGGCTCTCGAAACTCTCAAAGTCTGTTGCCAAGCACGTTTTTCTATTTTCTGTTTTCTGTTTTCCGTTTCATGGTAGTTGGTAGGTGTGTAGTATTCTCGTGTGCATTTTAAATAGCGGGCCTTGCATTTGGCCGTTAGAAAATCTCAGTCTAACACCAATAATGAAATGCACATTTGCATTCACTTCGGTAATCGGGCTAATATAGACCATAAAGGGTATCGAATGGGCCGAAAAGAAATTGCTAATTGCCATTATCCACGCCCCCTTTTGGACTATGGATTCGCGTCTATATTCTGCTTATATAAGCGAAAGTTAACCCACAAAAGAACAGCTCTACAAATGTCACCAAATATACACATACATACGTACATACTTGTATGTATATTTTTTGTTCTTTCGCTTTGGTTGTATCTTAATGGAAGTGGGAAAAAGTTGCTGACTTCTTGACTTATTGTTAATGCTGCAGTTTTCCTCTCAACCTCTCTCTTTTATATGGTTTTAGACAACAAGAAATTTAGGAAAGTCGCCATCGCTTTGACTTTGGTCAGCATTCTTTGGTGAAGGCGAATGCAGTTTAGTTCTTTTTTTTTTTTTGTGTGCCCAAGGTAATCTTTTCCGGCAGTTTATTGTTACCAGTAAGTTTGGACTGGTCAAGAGTTTCTACTTCGAGGCAAATCGACGACGATCTTGAGCACTTTTAGTTTAAAATTTGTCTGTGTTTCCATAGATTTCGCTTTCTTTTTAAACCCAACAACCCTTTTATACATTGTACTTGTATATAAGTGTTTCAGGGTACATATGTAGCTACATATATAGAAGATAAGCTGAGTTCTAAATCCGCTTAATTAGGCATTTTTGTTTCCATGTGCTTCTTATCAATAGAATGTGAAAATTTAAACAGTAATTTCAGCTTCCAACAGAAATCATTTGAAGCATGTATGTATTTTCTTATCAAGGCTGGACCAGAATCGAAAGTCGTTAAGTTGAAACTTTGATATGTACGTATGTACTCTATATTTGCACTGGAAATTGTTTATTTGCTTAGGAAACTCTGTGGAATTGCTATTCTTAGTAAACGGATGACCCGGTGATCACTGCACTGATCATTATTATTGTTGTTGTTGTTGTTGTTGTTCTGATTGGACTTTCCCAGTAATCGATTTCACTGAATTCCCCCGATCATTTGTATAAAGCTTTAAAGATTCTGCTGTGTCAACTCTTCATTTGCTCCCAACTGATAGAGGGGGAACCACTCGAAGATCTCTGTGTGAAAAAAGTGGGGGGTTTCTTGATAACAATGATCGGAATCTCGGCAATTCAGAGCACGTGACACTATCGCAGCTCTCTGAAGACCTGCTAACCCCTTTTGGGACTTTCCAAATTCATACCCTTATTAAAGGCGCCTTGCCAATTTATTAAAATTGATTATCGGCAGCACGTCAATTCAATATTTTTAGTTTTTTGTTTTGGTTCACTTGGAAAGGAAAAAATCCCATGGCATCATAATTATTATTTATTTTTATTTTTTGTCACCCGCTTAAGTGGAAAATGGTGCGCTTGGCTAATCAAAATTGGGCATTTCAGCGCCTTATCTTGGCGTTAGTATATATATTTTTTTTTCGCTTTATTCTTTTTGATTACAAAATACTTTGTGATAAGATTGTTGATTTGCCTGAAAAGACTTTTGGATGATAGTTGATATTATTAAAATAATGCCAAAATAGGAAACCGATTGCCTTCGGCTGGGGATCTTTCAATAGAAATTCGTTATCTACAGCCCTGGGTGATAAATTGGCCTGATCTTGATCTTTGCTTCCTCGACATTGGAGGGTATTTCGGCGGCGACTTCCCACAAAAACCGATAATTTCTTGTTATGGGCACACACAGGCATTTGAGATACTTATGAGGTAATTGAGCGCACGCCCCGGGTACGGGTACATCGTACCGCTAACGGCGGGAAAAACGCAATACAACAGAAAAACCTATAAAAACTGCACGCGCATTTTCCCGGGCATTGGGCCTATTTCGGTCCCTCCGTCTACGTCTACATTGTCTACAAGTCGAACGTAGTCGAACGTAGTCGACGGCGTGCATTATTATCACCTTAATAGTAATGACACTGACGAGCCATACTCTGTTTGATTTGCTGCAAAAGGCACCAGCAACAGCAGCAACAGCAACAACAGCAACAGCAGCAGCAGCAGGCGAAAAAAGTCATTACTTTGCATTTAGACCAGCTGATAGCGACTGCTTATCAACTCCACATGCGGTAATAGATTCATTTCTTTTGTGCTCGGCCAGCAGAGCTTCCTCTACACAAAGAAAACAAATATTTGTTTAAATATTTTTTTTGGACCAAAATGTAATATTCAAATATTAATAATTACAAAAAAAAAAATGTTTTGAGCAGTGGTGGGTTTTGAACTGCAACCTGAGTTGCAATTTTTTAAGTTTAATTCATCTAAATTGTTTATTTATAAATTTTTTGTATTATTATTTATTTTATCACATTCATTCTAAGTACGTTCCTTTGTAAGCAACGTTTATGCCTTAGTTCGACCAGTTTGGATTATGGCTGAATTTCTGAGGACTTTATAGATATGGATTATATCAATCTGCGTTTTTCTCTGTGTACAACAGCAAGAACAAGTGAAACGGACGAACCGCGGATGGATGGACGGACGGACGACATGTATTCATTACTGTTTCCGCAGCGATAAGCGCTAGACGACGGCATCTACATCTTTGAGTACTCCGCAAACGAAGCTCAGCCCCAGCCACACACTCATTTCATTATAGTGAAACATTTTATGAGTGCGCGGGGGTGATAGAAAAGAACTACTAGTACTACAAAAAAAAAAAACAAGCGAAACAGAAATCGTTTGCTTGCTAATGATAAATTTCTTTTAATTTCTTGGAAAACTCCAATTATCATTATCGGTAAACAGAAAACAACTTTGTAGGACAGCACAACTTCTAAGTTATGAACAGAAATGTTTCCTGACTGCCAGATATAGTCGTCACTGCCTGCCTCTTATCAAAAACACAAAAAGTCACTAAAAACTGTCTTCTCTCTCAAAAACGGGAACGTAAATGCCAAGATAAAAGCCTTGAGAACTGCCTTTTCCTTTCGGCACCATTCGATTCGGAGGTGTATCACCATCATATCTAAGTATTTTGCAAAGGTTCGTTGGGTAATGCCATTGGGTTCGGCACTCAAAGAACGTCCTCCACAAAAACATGAAAGCAAAAACTGTGATTCTGGGTGTGTTGTATATTACGGGTGTCTGATTGTCTGGTAGCCCGGCAATTCGATTAGATTTTGGTTTCTTTTTCACTATACTTTTTTTTTTATATTTTGGTGTTTCAGTGTGTGGACATTTTTATGAGGTTGCTTGGGACTTGGGACAGGTTTGATCGTAGGCCAGTTTGGTGATTGGCGTTCTCTCAGGTGATCGCATACATATAAATGCAAACTACTTAATATGCTGAGAAAGAAAAGAAAACTAGCTGCGGCCTGTGGGACCCTTAATTTTATATATTTTTTCCTCTTAAAATCGATCATCATACTTAGAATTCAGCTCATGAATAAGTTCACGTTTTTCTCCCCAGCTGATAAGCTTAATGTGGGTCATTAAAAATGTTTTTCTTTAGGTTTTAAAATGCAATTTCGTTTCGTAGAAGCACAACTCTTACAAGTTTAAAATGTATACCGAAATGACTTAATAATCGTGTTTTGAGGCATCTGCCTCGGGTCAAAGATCGGAGATCAAGTTTAGTCAAGTAGTTTAACCTAAGTTAAGACATTTTCATATTTTCATATTTCGTTATTTTGTGTCATAAGACGACGTCAACACTTAGAGCTACCGCTACCTATATCTTGAACATTTTCTTATCGTTTCGTTCAAGAGTTGTCGGCTTTAACTTTCACATATATAATATGACGGCATGTCGCATATCAAGCATACCCGCTGTAATAAAAGCTCTCAAGTATCAATGGTTTCTGCCTGATATACAGAGGTTTGCCCCAGTACAAGTTGTTTTTTTTTTTTTTTTTGCTTCGAGCGAGTGGTTATTTGAACACTTACCGGATCTAAGTCGGAGTCCCATATATCTTTGAGGTCGCCATCGTAGAATTCCATGGTTCTGTGAGGTTGGCGCTTTTTAGACGCGCTCTAAGAACTCTTTTAGTTGATCTTGCGGTTCGGGGATGGTTTTGGTTTGATTCGGTTCCACTTGGTTGCAGTCACACTATTTTAACCCACTTAAGAACTGTCTTCTTTTATATTTTTTAGCTTATACTATTATTTTCATGTGATTTACGGGCCGGTGGTCCTCTCTCGTTCTCGCCTTAATATACTTTATCTTCGTACTCCTCGCCGTACTCTCTTTTCTACCTCTCTTTCTGCTCTTTTCGGAAACGAACAGTTCTGGGTGATGACTGTTGGTTGCTTCTTTATAACACTTATTAAGGGGAAACCTGTTGCTTCCAGAGAATGTTTTCACTTGACATTGTTATAGTCTGCTTGGGTGTGTTGGTGTTTTTTTTGCGTTTGTATGTGTGTACCGGGCATTCATTCGAATTGGTGTTGGTATTTGGGGTGTATCTATGTGTACGGATCTAACTTGGCTTACAACTGTCGGCTGGATTTAACTTGTTGCATGCGCTTGCGTTTTCTTGTCGGATTATTTATTTGGCGTTAACATTAATTGAATTATTAACTTTTCCCGATTCTCGGAAACACTCGATTTTCATAGAAAATAGTTATTATATTTTGATTTCAAACGTTGATAACCATTTAATTTAGTTTATTTTGGACTCGATTACGATTTCAATTGGTTATAATTGAATTTTTCATGTGTTTTGTGTGTATGATGGAGCAGTAAACCGCATTTAAAATGGCTTTGCTCGGCCCGTGTATAATAGCATTTAATATGTGTAGTTAATATCGTTAGCTTTAGCAGTAATATTGGTATGTTTGGATGTATATATGGGATGGTAGCACTCAATTAGAATAAACTGTCCGTAGTGCGACTGCAGCCAAAAACGGTACTAAACTAAATGTCGGTGAAATTCTTGTGAATGCGAACGAACGAATCGAAAACGTCAGTGCGCTGCCGACGTCGCTGCTCTGCGCTTGGGCCTCTCTCCTTCTCTCTCCGGCTCTCCGTCCCACTCCCCCATACGGGGGCGCATATAGCCGAAGAGAAAATGTCTGAATTATCAGGCTCAGGCCCTCTCGCTCTTCCTATCTCTGTTGCTCTCTCCCCATCTCTCTCTCGCGTTTCACAATGCCGGCAACCGTGCTCAGAATTTCAGATGGAAAAGCTCGAACAAGTGATACTCCCACTAATAATACCCAACTAAAAACAATTTTTGTTTAATCTATTAAATATTTTAAAGCTTAATTGTGTGTGGTAAAGGGTTTTTAGAAATAGAATTTTAAGGAAGGTTACCTTACTTTAATAAATAATTTTATATAGGAATAAACTTAAGCTCGCTACAAAGTCATTACAAATTAAAAAAAAAATAATTTGCTCCAAAGCAAAACTGAGCTAAGCACTTGCAAATATGAATTAGGCAAGTGCAAATTAAATAGTTACTGAGTACTTATAATGCCAAACATTTAATTTAACAATTTCCAAGTCAATATCGAGATCAAATGAAGATGTAGATAGATCTAACTCAAAAAAGTGTTCGTAGCCGAATACCCAACAATTTAGGTCCAAACGATCAATTTAATTAACTGGTCCCTTACATTATTAAACATATTTAGGGTTGTTGTATCTAAACTCAAAAACGTTTAGCCGAATACCTCTATCGTTTAAATTAACTTATGGGTTTCTTATGTTACCATATACATATGTTTTGGGGGTGTTGTTGCTGAATTCACAGAGACTTCAAGCAGATTACCTTGTACTATTTATGTTCCCATGGTTCTTGGCCACAGATCTACCCTTGATACTGTGTAACATGCGGGCAGCCGGCTTCGATAGTATCCGACTCTCTCCCGCTAAACCGCTCTCTTAGTGAAACTTTCACGCTCTTTGTGGCTTTGGGGCTTTTAGAAGTGAATGTAAGTCGATTGTCGTAAGCCGGCTTTGACGTCGTCGTCGTCGTCGTCGACGTCTTGAGATCGCAGATCGGAGATCGTAGACCGGAGACGTAAACCGGAGACCAGAGGCCTGAGACACCCGGAGCCGCATAGGAAAGGAAAACAAGTTTCTTCCGACGCTGACGCTGACGTCGACGTCGACTGCTCGCTCTGCCGCCGTTGCGGCCACATTTGTTAACCTGTTTTTTATTATAGATTTTTGTTGGTGCGAGCATTTGATTTGGCCCGCTGGAAGGAGGAGCAGTAGGAGTGGAGGGTTCGGCGGGGTTCCCCGCTCTGCAGCCAGAGCCGACTTTTGGTCGCTGCCGCTTGGTAACACTCGCTACGTTGATCTTGTCAACTTGACCAAGTTATTTGAACTATGCACATGTGCAGACCAAACCGAGAGCTAAACCTCTTGCTTTGTCATTTGAAGGCTGTTTGCCGGAGTTTCGCCTGGCTCTTGGCTCTTGGCTCTGGGGGCATTGGGCATGGATCTCGGGGACTGGACTTGTGCCACAGCCACAGCCACCGCCACCGCCACTGCAACGCAGCGTCAGCGTCGACGGCGCAAAGTGAATGTACTTTCAAACCAAAGATCCGGTTTAAAGTTGCCCGGGCAACAGATACAGCATACAGACGACGACGACGACGACGGCGACGGCGACGACGATGACAACGGCGATGTTTTCACAAAAAAACGCTTGTGTAATACAGATGAAGGGGCATACATAGCTATGGCTCCGTGTGCATGTCATGTACATATCTGTATCCCACTGAAATACACACTCACTCAGCTTTCGGCCACTAATTTCTTATTTGTTGATGTGATTTTGTTGATGTTCATTTAAAATTTGAAAATCCCCAATATGGCTTACATGGTAAATCGAAACGGGTTGGCCTGCTGTTCGCTTGATTATCGCATTGAAATCAATGAGCTCCGATAGCTGGGACAACAAGACGCCACAAGGAGGGATCACACCCTCTACCATCTGCCTTTCGGGTAGAGTACATGGGTTTTTCCAGCCACTTGGTCACAAGAGAATTTCTCTGAATTATGGCATAGAAATTTGTTCGCTTTATTGGACAGAGAAGATCGGCTTGTTCGCATTACCCAAAAAAAAACATTTCTTTACACTTTCTAATTAGGAAAAGGTTAAGATGATGATCTTGGCAAACTTGATCGATTTCATGGCTCTACATCAATTGGTTGTCGGTGTCAATTGAAGCGGCTTATGTACATATGTCTGTAGTAAATTCGCAAGGGTAGCCTTTCCCTTCTTGTTTCAATATTTTATGTATATGTTCGTACATACTTGAATCACAATCCCATCAACAACATCATCAATGTGCATTGTGAGTGTATAAACAGCCAAATGAATTGGTTAAATGTGTGAGTGTTTTGAATTATACACGAAAAGAAAAATTGGATCGATACAATATGTTGAACAAGTTGATGATCTAAATAAAACAGCATTTCAGTTTAATGATTATAACAAATAAAAACTTTGTTTTCAAAGAATGCAATTTACATTTAATAATCCAGTTTAGCTAACAAATTCACTTTTTTAACTAATATTATTTTTACAGTGTAGATGTGTGCTAATAACTGATTTTGACCCAAATAGCATAAAAAGGCTAAAAAAATAACAATTGGGAAAACCGGATTATAAAATTCAATCCGATTTTTTTGTATCTTTTATATTTTTTCTTTTGAAAACTAATGATGAATTCCATTACTCTTTGACAGTTAAAGATAAAAACATAAAACATATATATTTTAAGCTGGTTTAATGTGTAAATGTATAGAACAACGGTGGTACTTGAATCCGGCTCTAGTCTAGTCTGTAATCTAGTCAAAATCAGTATTACAATTATTTCAAAAATGTGTGCATCACTGATAGGCGTATTTTGATTTTGCACCGATCGTTTTATTTTTTCCAGTGTACATTAAATTTCATTTGCCAGTCGCGAGACTGTGTGTAATAATTCGTCATGCTGGCCGCATTTGAACCCGCATAGCTTCGCTGCCTCCGTCTCTGCCGGGTAAAATAAAGTAAAGCCGAGCCATTCCCAATATTTCGTACCCTACACCGCCCCTAATTTGCGAGACAGATATCAGATAAACTGAATGCCGGTTCTCTTAGCTCGGGTCCACTACTCTCTTTGCCCTCTCTTAACTAATCTGATCGCACTCTGCTGTCGTCGTCGCTTCAAGTGGTTTTTACAGTTATATAGTATATATAGAGAGAGAGATATATTGTGTCTTATGGCTGGCACAAATATTTTTCGCCACCGACTGACGCTTATTTGTATGTTTTTCTTTTTCTCTTTTAATATCATATGTATATATTTTATTTGATTTGTGAATCACATCAAACAAAAAACATTTTGCGGGTACCATGGGTGGATGGGTGCGAGAGTTGCGCTGAGTGTTCACTGGAAAAATAAAGATACAATTCAGAAAGACGACGTATGAAGTAGATGTATGTAGGTGTCTGTTGGTCTGAACACTTCTCGTCAACTTTTCGTTCCTGTTTATCTGCAGTGATATTTTAATCTGCACTTGAGATTTCCTTTAGAATATAATTTAGCATTATGCCAGAGAGCTCTGATTAGATTCCATGGCTGTCATGCCCCGTTGGGGTTGATAATTTAGTAACTTCCCCCCTATGAATGAATTTTTGTTATTGCGGTTTCTTGTCATCATCTTTTAAGATTCACAAACACTATACAGATAATATGTGCTAACATGTTTTTGAAATTTTAAGGCCAAGCAATTTTCTTAAACATTTTAAAATTGAACGCTCGCTGCTATCTTACCCTATAGTTTTTCCCACTAAAAGATAAGAATTTCCTTTTCAGGACACAAAGGACTGCCTATCACTGTGGTTAAATGACTCATTTCTTATCAAGTGTTAGGGTCCGTTTTTAATTCCCAGCGGGTCACATAGCATTTTCTTATCGCTAATTATTTTTAGCATAAATTTCACTTGTCTGTGTGCACTTTCATCAGCATAAGAAGGCCATATTTTAGTACACACCAATACAATACTGAAAAATATATTTATGTCCCCCATAATAAACTTCAATTTATTTTGAATTTCAGTTGATAAGTTGTATTTATTCTGGGCATTAAGTACATTAAGCAAAAATTCTCTTGTTTAATGATATGCTATTATTAGCTGGGCATATGAAAAAGCAGCTGTGCCAGAGGCTTTTGTGTGTTCCTCGGAAAAATACCAAGAAAATGCATTAAAACATATGCCATGGCATCTAAAAATATGTGCTCGTGCTCTGGCATGATGACTTTGCCACCAAACAATGCGAAAACAAATTATTTACCAGGACATTGATCTTTTTACAGGAGTTGTTAATTGGCTTAGACATTCCGCACTTAGTCAGCATCGAGTTTTCTTTTTTTACTATAGCCGAATTGTTATTCTGGCTGAAAGCGACAGCAAAATAAACCATACAATACTTTTTGACCTAGTTTCATCATTTTATCACTTTGTCAAAAGCAAAGTTGAAGATCGCAGGCAGTTGTAGTGTCGTAGTACCTGCCTTTTGGAGATACGATACGCATTCACCTTGGTCTAAAGATAATAAATGATCTCATTTGTTATATTCCTCTCCCTGAGGACTTGAAGGAACGATCGTGACATCGTCACATTTCTAGCCACTTTTTAAGCGGACTTTATTCACACACGATTGTAAATAAATGTACATGTGGATTGTAAATTAAATACACACATTCGTCGATCGGGTTCGGGCTGAATATGTATATTTTGTCGTGTAAACATACGCAACGCAGCAGACATTCTGCCGTCGTTGTCTTTACAACTGAATCCACATATCGTCAGCGCATTGAGAAGTCTTAAGTCTTTTGTTTTTTGTCATTTGTTCTGACTCGATCGATGTTTCCCGTCCATCTGTCAATTGCATTTAAAGCAAATATCACCCATAAGAAATGGGCTATAATAAAAGCGTACGCCGTGCAACAACGACAACGACAGCAGCAGCAACAACAACAACAGATTGGTTACGTTTGCACTTGTTTAAACAATTTCATAAAGAACTTTAGAGCTCACTACCTGCGCCAGTTGATTTGTATTTATTTTTATTTATTTTTATATTTTTTTAATTTCTTCCCTTCCCTTCCCATCACCTTACAGGTGCACGATAAAGTTAGCCAGCATAGAACGGCAACGCTTATTTCTGTCTTATCGTCAGTGGAAATGCTTGACAATAAATTAGATTTTGTGCAAATTCTGCCGTCCGATCGATCCACTCAATGGGTCTGTCCGCCATGATGGTGCAAATAATGGTTAAGAATACCGTAGAAGAAGAAATATTCCTATTCCCCCAGGCAAATCGCAGGTTTGTGTGATTTATATCATAACAAAAGGGTAGAGGTAAAGCTGCAAGAAATGCCAAATCGAAGATTGGCTACACTTCATCCAGAAAATGCTAATCTCTAATACTACCGGGAAATGTCACTTATAATATTATTATTATTATATTTAGCACTTTAAGCTTGAAGAAGCCTGTGCTCTAGAAATACTGGAACTGTCAACTGAAACGTGTTTATTGATAATTTCCTATCTACATTTTGGCCGGTAAAGCCAGAAACTTTTGAATTATTAATGAACGTTAGTGGAGTGTTTTGCAGCAGGGTAACTTTCAGTCGCTTCTCATTATCCAAAAGTATTTTTCTGCTTGACGTCTTCGTCTTTGGCTATCCATAAACAAAATACGGCCAATGCGGCGTTTGTTGAGGTCAATGATTTCTTTTGCGTTGTCTTTTTCACGCTTTTAACGCTTTTTGTCGGTTGGCCAGTTCGTATGTTCGTATGTCTGTCTGTATGTCTGTATGTGCTAGCATATTGAATATTAATTTTGAAGTTTTTTCGGCTTGTGCAAACATATTCAGCAAAATAAGTGGAACCATCGACCGCTGTAATGTCGATTCTGCAAGCCAAATGATGACATAATGGAAGATAGTTAAAAAACCAAACCCACGAGAAGTGTTGTGTGTTGAGAGATGAATCACGGGACCCAGAATATTTCAGTGTAATACAATGAACCACGGTCTAAACTTATCTTGAAGGTTCTTTCGATAAAATCATATTCAATTAGACTAAAAAGAAATGCATGTCGGCTGTTGATTTTTTTTCGGGAAAAGTCCCAGAAATATGTCCATAAATATAATGGTGAAACCGTCGACATCTTTCAGTAGAAGATTCAAGTTGAAACCGCTAAAATGTTCAGATTTTTTTTGGTACACCTTTGCCTCGTGTTGCTGCTGCTGTGGAGTTGCCAAATATCGGCAGATCACTTTGATGAATGTGATGGGGTTGACGACGAAACGTTTGTCCAGAGTTGGGAAAACTGCCAGTCGTATGTCTACTGCCAGGGTGAGGATTCGTTGAAGGGCGAATGCGATGAGGGGGAATACTTTGATGCGGAGACGGGAGGATGCGATTTGGCTGCGAATGTGCAATGCTTCCTGGACGAAGTCGACGAACCTGCAGATCCAGAGCCCGAACCGGAAGAGGAAGTCACACCCGCCACGACGTCAAGACCAACGGATCCTCCAACCGAAGCACCAACCGAGGTGGACATTCTGAACATTGCACCAGTTGTTAAGCCCAATTGTCCGTTCAGCGATGATCCCAGTCAGGTCATCTTAATGGCCAGCAACGAATCGTGCACCAACTATTTTCTCTGCTACCATGGACATGCCATGGAAATGCATTGCACCAATCAATTGTACTTTAATTCCCTCACCGGACAGTGTGATTATCCCGAGAAAGTTCAGTGTGCGGTAGGTTTGCGGCTCAAAGAATTTCTCTATTAATCTTGTATATTAAATTACGAAATTATTTGCAGCTGGACGATCCAAGGTCCCACAAATGTCTGCCCCACATGACCGAGTTCTTTCCACATCCGGACAAGTGCAACTACTTCTACTACTGCATCAAGGGATTCCTGACCCTGCAGCAGTGCCCCTTCTACTACGGCTGGGACATCGAGCGACGGAGTTGTGTGCAGATTGGTGTGGCGAAATGCTACGGAAATTCCCGCCGAACTTAGGCCGAAAAACTGGCAAAAACATTTAACTCATTAGAGCTGTGAGAGGAGTTGTCTACGCTAGCTGATAAGCGCTCTATTTATTGATAAGTTACAAGATTGTGGCAACATGAGACCTTTAATTAAATATAACTTATTAGGAAATACCTAATGCTTTGCCCCCGATTGCTGAGCTATAAAAAGCTTAGCACATCGCTTCGAACCACCACAAAAGCTCGAGAATGCAGCAATCTTTACACTTGGCCCTGCTGTCAATCGTTTACGGTGTTGTTCTCGTTGTCTGGGGAATCAATGGCCTAAACATACCCGAATGCACTGGCCAAAATGGAATCATCAACAACACCCGTCCCAATTGCAGTTACCCCTATATTAATTGCTCAGCCCAGGATTCGTTGTTTTGCTTTCAAACTGACACTTGTAGTGCCAACTTTATCTGTGGCAACATAGACACACTGGATAATTCAACTGCTTCGCCCAACCAGACAACTCCAACGGTTATAACCTCCCCGACACCTTTGGCCAGCACCTCAACCATCTCAACCACCTCAACCACATCGACTTCCAGTATCCGACGTGAGTGTCGTCCGGGTGTAACCAAAAGGTTTAGTTATCCACAGAATTGTAACTATTTCTACTACTGCGTGGACGGCTTTCTACTTGTGGAACAATGTCCTATTGGCTATGTCTTCGATTCGGAGAGTGGAGCTTGTGGTGGTCGTAAACGAGATTCGGCCGATTGTACGATGAAATAAAAAGTTAATAAGCTAAAAAAACAAAAGAAGAAATCATTCAATTAGGCTTCTTGTCATGTCAACTAAAGCTAGAAAATAAAATTAACCAAGAGTCTTATCAGATAACAAGCGAAACAGTAATGAACAGTATTTGCACCTATAAAGAAGGCTCTGATCCGCGAGATGAGACAGTCGAAACAGTCTATATGTGGCAGTTGTTGATTGTCTTTGGCTGCCTGTTACCTGTAAATCAGGTACGGGCGGATTTACTAGAGGAATGCACAGGTGTTATAATCAACAAGGTGCCCAATGAGAACACGCAATGCAGCGAATATGTTCACTGCGATGGCGAGGATTCGTACTACTGCAATGGAGATTGTCGCGAGGCCGTCGATTGTAACGCTAAGGAAGTGACTACCAGAGCACCAGTTACCACCTTAAGAACTGCTGAACCCACACCCACCACCACCACGACGAGAGTGTCCACAACCGAAGAAGCTCCTTCTCCGGCAAATACAACATCTACTACACCGCAGACGGTGACAACCTCTTCGACCATTTCACCACCTTCGATGCCAACCACCGATGTCCATGTGAAGTGCAAGACGAGTGGCAAAAATGAGGTCTATCCGTATCCAGCGAATAGTAATTACTACTATCAATGTCTTGCCGGTTATCTGCTACTTCAGCAATGCCCCCAGAACTTCCATTTCGATCAGTTCCAAGGACAGTGTATTTCCACAAAACCGTATCCGTATCCGTATCGCTCATCGCGCTTACATGTGTAAGATGCATCTGTGAATCTGTAATAAAGTCACTATCAAAGCGTGTTCTTAGGCAAATTAATTTTTGATAAGCACCAAGGTGGTAAAGTCTGCATACGACGTAGATCAGTTCACTTTTCGAATCGCAGCGAAGAAGATGTTTCGGGTTTTTGGATCCATTTTATTGTTCCTTGGCATTTGCCTGGCGGATGTTTTTCAAGAGTGTAACGAAGGCAACAGCTTGTCGTTCGTTACCTCACCAAAGAGTTGCGCACACTATATTTTCTGCAACGGCGATGAGTCATACGATGGCGAATGTGCGGAGGGCGAGTACTTTAGTGCCGATATGGAAATGTGTGAGCCCATGGGCGACATTGATTGTCGCACGGGATCGGCAATGGAAGTGGATAGTTCCACGCAGATTAACACTGACGTGGAGACCACTGCACCAGTTCCTACGGATGTAATTACCACTTTGGCTCCGTCGGTGATTATAACGCTGCGCCCATCAGTCGTCAATCAAAATGGGACCTCCAACGCGACTACGATGTCAACTGGCATAGAGGTTATTGTGACCAATATGTGCCCACAACTGGATAATCAAAGTCGTATCGCATTGGTGCCAAATCAGAATTCCTGCACCGATTATTACATTTGCTATCGTGGCGAACCCCTGCCCATGAGTTGTGCCGCCAGTTTGCACTTTAATTCGCGCACTGGCAAATGTGACCATCCCGAAAATGTCCGATGTCTGGTAGGTTTTCTATATTATCTGATCGAACGACTATGATTATTATTTATGAAATATTTTTAGGCACTGACATCGAATCCCAGAGAGCAGTGCAAACGACATGTCATCGATGTTTATCCGCATTCCGGCAACTGCAATTACTTCTACCAATGTCGATCGGGTTATCTGATGGTGCAGCAATGTCCTTTCTTCTATGGTTGGGACTACGAGAAGCGATCCTGTGTGGCGCTAAGTCAGGCCAAGTGCTACAATAAAATACAGATGCAAATGAAATTTAAATAAATACATATCGATCAAGTTTAAGAAACTATTGATTTAAAACATAAGCTTATGGGAAACTAAATCTATATTATAGGGGTGAACTTGAATGTCATTTTTTGAAATTCTAGCTCTACTTTTTTTGAATTTAAGCGTATAAGTAAACTAGTCATGTTGAATATTATCAGATCTAGAACTATCCCATTTTAATTATAATTTTTGAGTCAATAATAAAAGAAAAACATGATAATATGGAAAGAAATACAGAGAGAAAACTGAAAAAGTTTTAGGTGCAAACACAGATTTGAAACATTTTTAAAAAATAAAACGCTTGATGCAAATTTTATGTTACTAATTGAAACTAAAATGTTTTGTTTTATTTATTAATATGTTTTTAACTTTTGCACCTTAAACGTCACATTTTGGAGCTCTGTTTTCTTTGTGTAGGGTTCTTCGGTTAAAATTCGCTTAAATTGTTAATATGAAGAATATTTAAATGTAATCCGAATTTCGAGTTTAATTAAAACCTAAATATGATGTACATATAAGTTTAGGATGAAGAGATTTTTGTGACACTTCCCTAAGTTTAAGCATTTAAAAGTAAAACATCGTTATATCTCTTATCACAAAAGCATCCGACCTTGAATCATTCCTAAATTAATCACACATTTCTAGTGATACTTGAAAGCACTTTCATATCTTTGTGAAATGTGAACCTTGAATCATATCAGTTGCTAAATTTTTTTTTTAGACAGAAATAGGCCAACCGGAATTCGTTGACCGATATGATAGCATTCTCTTTACAAGGACAACATGTATCATATTGACACACAACCAATTGGTTGTTCATTCACATAGAATCTTTCTTAGCTAATCTCCACTGCCTTTGCATCGAGCTTTGAAATTGAAAAAATCCAGGGCAGCATTAAAGATGTATCTCAGTGGCAATTCGAGATATCATATCGGTCGATGGCGAGGAAAGGGAACCAAATTGTTTTGCCAAAACAAAACGAAAGCAGCGACGTTATCAACTGCCTCTACAAGCAGTTGAAAATGTTAATTTTCTGATATTGAGTATGATATTTGGCTGTCTCTTGGCGCCGTTTGTATGGCATATATGCCAAGTTCTTCGGGCATTACGAAATTAGAACAAAACTGCGCTTTACTGGAGTCTGACACAAAAGATGATGCTTGATACGGGTTAGTAGAATGCATTTAAAATGGGTTTTCCAAAATTAAAGACCCTTTGTTAACAGGTTTATATTTAACGATAAGCTGTGTGCTTATCTCGGCTCAGCGAAACATGAAGCTATCGAAGCCCACAAATTCGGTGACCATACGACAGAGTGGAGGAAGCTTTTGTGCCAATCACTTGGCTGGTGACTTTGTGGAGCATGCGGAGGACTGTCACATGTTCTACCTGTGCGTGGAGAACGGAGATGCAGTGCTGGCCTCCTGTCCCCCAACAATGCTCTTCAACTCGGAAAGCCGACTTTGCGATTCGGCGGGAAATGTGAGGTGTAGAAATGGCACGGATAACAGCATGGAAAATACTCCTTCTGAAGGTGCGGAAGGTGACCTCAACAACATGGTCACCGATGCGGCCACCTATTGTGCTACGTTGATGGAACAGCAGTCGAGCGATCGGATCGTTTCTGTTGGAAGTTCCAGCAGTTGCAGCAAATACTACATTTGCTACTATGGACAGGCGATATTGCAGGAGTGCAGCTCCCAATTGCACTGGAATGCAGTCACTGGCAATTGCGATCTTCCGGAACGGGCACAATGCACTCTGGGCGCTCCGGAAGATGTGCCCTCCACTGGGAACTCCAATTTCCAGTCCGGTGGTTCCATTTCAAGCGATCTCATCCACTGTCCGGCCTACGGACAACACTTGTATCCGCACATGCAGCGCTGCGAGTTCTTCATCTATTGCGTGAAGGGGCACGCCAGTCTGCAGCAATGTCCCTTCTACTATTTCTTCGACATTGCCACCAAAAGTTGCCAATGGTCGCGAACGGCTCTGTGTGTGCGAGATTTGAACTTGGGAGCACTAATAAAATAGAATATATATACTTTAACTCATTTGTGAACACTAGTTTTAAAGGGCGAGTTATTTAACTGCTCTTTTTAGCGGCCTATTTACATGTATAGTATAAAAAATTCTTTTTTTAAGCGACTTATTGTTGGAAAGTGCACTTTCCATCTGGTATCTTTAACTACTACCCAATAGGAAATTCTAAAGAGGGGCTTAAAAACTGTTATTTTACGTTTGTTTTTTTAGATACACGGCGCCAAATATTTTCGTAATATTTTCTCAAATTTGATTGCAAAAAAAAAGTTAATATTAATAAGAGTAATTTTTCCAATCCAGCATTATTTCAGCGCATTTCTATTAACTTTCATGTAAATACTGCCCAAAAACTGATACCAACTGAAATCGAACTGGGTAGAAATGTTTGAAAGTAAAAATAAATTAAATAAATAAAAATAAAAAAATTTATTAGCATTGCTTGTTAATGAAACCGATTTAAATACCGGGTTTCCTGATTTAAATGTTTACAAGTATCGCAATGCTATTAATTTTAAATTTGGCGCCGATAACATAGAGAAACCAAATTCCATGTGTACACACTGGCCTTCGACTAGCGGTATCGACAACGCTGATCGATTTTGTGATTGTTATTTTTCGGCTATTCGGCAACGGTCATACAAATCCCACTATATTATGTTAAATTAATCATATTTACATCTACCTAAATATAAGCGAAACGAAATATTCAATTGGCCCGTGAAGTAAACAAAACAGGCGCTAAAACATGAAACTGAGGACACACAAAAACGGAGCCTACGAAAAACCTCACTGAACACGAATTTGGCCGTCATCGAACTCAAACCCCAAAACTCTGAAAAAACCCTTAAAATATATTTGTTTCGGGTGAAAAGGAGCATTGAAACGGAACTACGACACCCGGGCGGCAGGTAATCTATCCAAATCCCGAACAGCCAGCAGGATTCCATCCAGAAAATAGTGGCCGAAAAAAACAGGCCGAGATTTTGGGTGGAATCTTCTAGAGAATCAGTGGCTCACCATCCAGAATGTTTGAGAACTTGCGCGGTCTTTTTCGAAAACGACGTCGCTGCGAATCGGACACGCCCCCGGCAGCGCCAACGCCCCCGCCCCGATATCCGGAGGATATAGACACCGAGACGCCAGAGTCCAGCGATGGCTATGACGTCTCCTGGCCGGCGGCCTCTTTCCACAGCCCACAAACAGATAGGTAATTGAATACTCGGCATTCACGTTCCTCCTCCTTCCCCCCCTCTCTCTTCTTGCAGCTTCAGAACCAAATAAAAAATTAAGCAAAATAACAGCAACGCCAGCTTCAAACACGTCCGACACCCACTCGAAAAAAAAGCGCTTAAGACATTCCAAAACCAAAAAAAAATAAAAGTAGCCACCAGAGCAGCGGCTGAAAAAAAAAAAAAAAAAAAACCGAAACAGTAGGCAGCTGTCCATCTTGGGTTAGAGATACACTTGGCCGGTTTTTTTTTGGAGGGCGGCCGGTTCAAATCACTCTGGATCAGCCGCAGGATATGGAAGTGGATGCGCCCCCAGCGCAGCAAGCCATCGACAATCATCTCCACAATCACCATCATCATCATCAGCAGCTGTTCCCCCGCCTGCAGCAGCAGGAGCAGCAGCAGGAGCAGATCTCACCCAGCGTCCATCACTCGGAGTCCTCGATGAATTTCGATTATTTGCAAGATCTGAGGGCCGGCGCCATGGCCTCCACGTCCACATCGGCATCGGGAGGAGGCGGCAATGGCGGCAGTGCCTCCTACGGCCTCGTCGACGACAGTAGAGCCCTGGACAGGTTGTTATCCCATGCTACCTAAACAAAAACAAAACAAAAACCAAAAAAAAACAAATTCAGACACCAAAACGAATACTCACAACCTTGTAGCGATTGTAAAACTTATTAGTTTCTTATCTGTTAGTTCTTCACACCACACACACACACACACACACGGCTACCAGCTTCATTCGACTCTTTTGTTCCGTAACAATCATGGTGATAGCTTAAAGTATCTGCTGCGAACGCCCACAGAACTACCAAAAAAAAAAAAAAAACGTTAAGAGCTTTGTGTGCGAGCGCCTCTGTTGTAGACATATTTTGGTTATAATTTCGTAGCTCTATAAGTGGATAATCGATCCAAAAAAGCAGAGCAATCTAACCATTTAACGTTGCTTGTCTCTTTTCATGACTTAATCACTGATCCGCAACCGCACTTAACCACCCATGTGACAGACCCTATAACGCCAGCGAGAGGTAAAGCATCGTTTTAGTAGCCATTAACACTGACTAATCTCCGCGTGACTTGCAGGTTCGTTAGCATACTCGACCAGTTGGATGCGCGGGTGGAGAAACTGCGCAAGGATGCCCTCAACCTGCAGGAGAAGAAAGACTTCCTCTTGATGTCCATGGATCTGATCAAGAGCAACGAAATGATGCAGAACATGAGCGAGGGTAAGATATGCTCGTCATAAATAAAAACAAGACTATTTTTAGATCTATTTAAATAACATTTTGAGCAATTAAGTAGGAGTAAAGGCACAGAATTGCCATAGAGAGTACTCATTCAATTTAATTTTAACCGAAAATCAAAAAGGAAGAGATTTGTTTTTAGCATTGCGCATAAAATATGATTTAAAAAATATTTTTAATTCATGCTGAAACAAATTTTAGTTGAAACATATTAGACAAATCAAAGTTTTTTAATTTCCTTTCCATTAAAATCCCCGATAAATTGATTAAATTATTATTTAATAATTTTGAAGAACGAATCTGGTTTCTTTTAAAGTGAAGTTTTTTCAAGATCAAATCCCATAAAGCGTATTTATTTGGTATTAACTTAACTTAATTTAAGAACTATTCTTTAAAAAAAAGCAGAGGAAAGAGCTAAGTTGTTAAAGATCGTTTTAAAACTTTGTAAAACTGATTATAAAATATATATTTTAACATGAGAAATACAACATATAATTGAAAAATTGTTTCTGCCATTATTTTAGTAATTTGTACTTTACTTTTAAATACAAAGTAACAAGTATTTTACTTTTAGATACAAATTGCAAAAAATAATTGATTTGAGCATAGGAATTTATGATGTAACTATTTTAACTTTTAGAAAAAATAAATGAGTAGAAGTACAATCTTACTGTGATATCCATTTAAAATAAAGTGCCACCTTTGTTTTTACCCTTTACTGTAATTTATGTCGTCTTCACCGCTTTCTAATTCAACATGAACTAATCACTAATTTCTTTCAGCTGAACGTGAGGAGATCATGTTGTATATACAGCGGGTTAGCTCACGTTTGGGCACCGTGGAGCTGAATGTGCGCACTGTGCGCGACAACTCGCAGGAGGATTCGCTCAGCCAGATAAATGCATTGATCGATACGATGATCAAGATGGGCGATCCGGTGATCGCGCGCCAACGTTGCCAGTTGTACTTGAATGCCTGCTGCAGCAGCTCCATGGATCCATCCGGGCGGATGGACACCCTGCCCGAGGCGGACTTGGGCCCGGTGGACAAGAAATTCGAGAGCGTTCTGCTCGGCTGCACGCTGGACGATCAGAAGAACATCAAGAAACGGCTGCAGGCCTTAATGGGTTATCTAAATAAGCAAACTGTTAGCCATTAATTGAATTGTTTTTCGGTCTATTAACCATTCATAGCATTATTACCAAACCAAACGAGTCACATCACCCCAAGCCAGACGAAACGAATAATAAACAAAACATATACACAAGGTCGACAATTTTTGGAATTCCATATGAGTATATATTTATATTATTTGTATCTATTGCTATAAGCTAGGAAAGCACATGTCCTGAGCGTTTAGAACCCGATCACTAAGCACCCACAAGGCATCGTTGGAGGTGAAAAATATCTGCTGGATGTTCTTCGAGGTGAGATATATGATTTCATTACCCTCGGCCGTGATGTTGGCCAGTTTGGCACATCGCACAACGGCTCCGAATTTGGGGATCACATAGTACAAGGTTCCGAAATTATCGATGATCATGCTGCGACTGCTGCCAAGGAGACTGCCCAAATGGGTGAGTTTTATGCTGTTCTCTATAGAAGTGGATAGTAACTCCTGCTTGCCCTCCATTTCCAGTCTATCCACAGTGCTGTAGAGGTCACCATCCTGATCGCAGAGGATGAGTTCACCCTGAAGACCGAATGTGAAGTCCACCGGCTTGATGGGAAACGATTGGTTCATGTGCTCGAACTTGTGACTTTGCAATGAGCGACGTTGCCATGTCTGTTCCAAAACGTCGTAGGCGAGAATTTCCGGCACCTGACCCACGATGAAGTAAATATGTCGCTCCTGTTCGCAACCCGGACCCTTGGGACCCATTTGAACCACCAGAGATTGGCTGGCGTTGGCGCCTATATGCTGGCCACAATCGATGCGCAACAGTTCCGCATTGTTGCGTATCAAATCGAAGACAAACAGACGGGGCGGACACCTGCTGCCCGGGACTCCAATGTCCATGACCCACAGTCGACTCAGTGCATCCACCTGGGACCAGTGGGCCTGTTGCAGCAGCGAGCAATCATCATGGTCCCCGTTGGCATGCACTTCGGCATTGGGAAACACCACCGTGGGCATGGGAAAGTACGAAACCGGCCACTGCGCTTCGATCAGAGTGGCAGATTCATTGCTTTCCACATTGACACTGAGAAAAACTCGCGAAAAGTGCATCGACAAATGGCGCACATAATAACTGGCTTCGTTTAGATCGGATTGCGATAGCAACCAGGCTTCTGAGGCTAAAGCCAAACCAACTAAGAGGACCACTTGTGTCACCATCATCATTCAACCCGAATTCACACTGAGCTTAGAGCCAGAGGTCTGCTTACGTTGTAAGTGTCCAATGAAGTGTCCATCAAATTGTCTACATCAGCAGTTGGCATCGGGTAACGTGAATAAAAAAAAAACCGAATATCGGCGACCCGCATTAATGGAAACTAACATTGTGAGTTTTTCTCTGTTTACTTGTGGTTCCAGCAGAAAGAGAAAAAATTCAAACAGCACAGGTTCAACTATCAATAAATTTCATGAGTCATTTAATTTATATATAAGAACATTTACAATATAATAATATTATAAAAAAAAATGTAATTAGGAAGTTATCTCCAAACTTAAGGTCTTTTGACAATTGGTTAGGTACATTCCTTCTTAAAATGTTCAAAGCTTTCTATCATGATATGATTTTTTAGCATCGATAAGGTTCTTGTGAACTGAACCTACCTTAAGTGTTTTTTTTAACGTTTATCTTGAAAAGTAAACAAGTATGTGTATTTCATTATTGGCAGTAATAAAGATTATTTTGAGATTACTATTGTCGGAAAGCTTGAGTAAACCCCCTAAAAAATTTAAACTCAAGCATTGATTAGCTTTCGATTTTGCGGACAATGGTTATTTATCATGGTTTAATCTACTATGGCAGCTAATTTATTTCCTCCTTGGTAATACTTACAGTTGGAAAAGTAACATTTTTAATTAAAAATGGTAACAACAAAAGGCTTCAGTACTTTTAAATTATATTTTATGTGGATGAAAAATAACAAATAATTTTGAACTGATGCCTGAGAAAAACTTGTCACACATTCAATCAATTTAAGCTTCATTTTGTAATTCCTCTCTTTTGATCGTTGTAATCAGAACCGAATCTTTATCAGTTTCTCTCTGTATAGATCAATAGATACTGAAAGCTTTTCATAACTGTCGCCACCAAATGTGAAAATTTGCACAATAAGAGGTGTCAGTTATTCATTTGAGTTGGCCAAGACCACATCGATATCCGGAGAATCCACGCCTTTTGTCCACAACCGCCTTCATCATGTGCAACGCACTTTGTGAATGCCTCAAATGTCCTGGCAAAGTCATTTGCTGGTAAGTTTAAGTCATTTGCTAATTAATTATAATTACCATATGGAAAGGCAGATCCGGAAAAAATGTTGATAAGCATATAAATAAATTGTTCATACAGATATTTTCAAATGATATTAAGATATAATTACATTTACTGTAGATAAAAAAACAAAACCATGTTTAGAATTGAAAAACAATACAACTTTGAGGTAAAAAAGTAATTTTTAATTTATTTTCAACTTATTTACTTTATTTTAGATTTAATGATTTAGTAGATAAGGTGCTTAAAAATCTTAGAATATTAACCAATATTCCAATTTTTTTTTTTTACTAAATCTCCAATGCGACTCTTTAGTTGAGAAGCAATACAAGAAAGTTTTTATCAGGGTTTCATCAATGATAACAATTATATGACTTCCTGCTCAGTAATACTTTTAAAATAGAATACTTTTGGGTGTGGGAAAACCCAAAGTGGATTTTTGGCTTTAATCAATCGGGGGCCGTATACCCCATATTTGTTTGCGACTGAAACCATTTGTCTTTGTCACGGACTGTCTGTCTAACTCGACTATATTATGATTCATCTACCTTTGCTGCCCCAATCAAATTCCTTGGTTTTGACAAATATTTTGTAACTAAAATCTTATGTGGAACACTATGTGCTTGAATCGACGATTAACTATAACTATTGTGGTTATTGTCGCGACAGTAATACTATTTTTTGTATTATTTCATATATATGATAGGTATTATGACACTTCACATTAAGGTTCAAAATTATTAACAATTATGTGTTGGAATCTCCGAAATGCAATCATTTTTTTGTGCTGTACTAACGGTATTCAAATTAATTGTAGTTCTTTATTTCGTCTTGAGACGACGGGATGGACAATTAACCAGATCCAAGTGATGGCTAACGAGACCCCCTTCATAAAGAGTGTAAGCTCTATTTTCCAATATCTCTATTCTACTTTTACCCCTGGCGTCGTGTTAATTATAACCGACTCGTTATCAGTTTATTGTTTTTTTTTTTTTTTTTTCGCCCGATATGATTAAAGCTCTCAATACCTGTCGGTTCGAAATGCGGTCGACGGCAGTTTCACCCCTTCAGTTGATAATTTGTGTTGGTCAACAACGCTTCGAGAACCGGGTGTCGTAAAATCCTTAGCCACTTATCATATTGTAACCTACGGTCGTCATCACCAACCGTCATGTGCAACGCTCTCTGTGAATGCCTCAAATGCCCCGGCAAAGTTGTTTGCTGGTAAGTTTCCACTATCGGTTCCTGACTCATTGATCACCATGGATATAAACCCCTTTATATTTAGACATGGGATTATATATAAAAATGGATTTTAAACATTTGATTCAAATATTTTTTTTAACAAAAGCCTATTACGATTTAAGCTTAATTTAATTTTGACTTCTTAAAAAAATCGAACATCAACTCACAAAAAAAAAAAATTTACCTTGCTTGAAGGACTATAATTCCCAACGGGTTCTAACTAAGTTTTGCGGCATCTCCTTTGATTTCTTAACTAAAGTTCATTTGGATTCAAATGTTTCGTTTTCTGTTTTACATATAACCCAATGTCTTTATTTAGATAAAGCCAGCTTAGTCATGTCTATATCTTAAATATAACTAAAACAAAACACAAAAATATATTAGTTTCCCTATTAACTCAACTTAAACTAAAATGTTAGGCTAAAGCTATAAAGTTACTATACTTTTCTGAAGGTTAAAGGTTTTTGACATTTGTTCAAATATCTAAGCCACCTAATATAGTTTTAATTAAAGTCTTTTTGAACTTGACTAATTCGAACTCTTTATCCTTACAGCTGCTGTTCGTGCGCCTGCAAGATGCTCCTGAGCATCGTGTTTTCTGCGCTTCTGATGGTCGTGGTTATCGGCCTGATTGTCTACTTCACGGTCTTCTATCACAAGGATAAGGATACGGATACCAAGGAAGTGCGGAATCAGGTCGCTCAAATGGCGCCCATTGTGAAGCGCAGTATACGCGACTACTTCAATAAGGAATACTGATCTGAGGACATGAATTTATACTATAGGCTACATTTATAATAATAATAATTCCGTGAAAACGAAACGAACCCAAAACTAAAACTGTCCAATTCGTTATTTAATCTAATCGAGTCGGATGCTCGTTAATGGGATTTTTTTTTCTTATCTATAGACTCAACTCAACGACCGATTTGTGCGTTTTCAAAAAGGGTTGGGTATTTGCCGGTTGTTGATACTATATTATGGCCAAAATGTGATTCATTATATGCCTTAAGCTTATTTTTTCCGGTGACTTCATCTATAACTCGAAACGACACTACCTTTTAAAAAGTGTTAAGAAAACTTGGACTAACGACTTACCAAACTATTTTTATGGTAATGTTTTGACCTGAAAATAAATCAGTAAAATCAAGACTTGTTGTTTTTACTGGCCATGAATTTTGTTTTAACAAATTTTTATAATCACTACAGAAATGTAATAATTAATATTATTTAAAATTTGTTAAAGAAACTATAAAGTGTAGTCGTTAAAATTAAAAATATTCGCTTTAGGGCAAGAATGGGAGTACATAGGATGGTCATAAGATGAGGGTTTCCCAGCAGGGAAACCCCTCATTACCTCAGTCCAAAATCGATCGCCTCTCCAGCTGTTTTCCTAGTTTTATGTATACCATTGTCAAAGTCAGGTAGCCAGGACCCTTGTCGAGGGTTGAAAAGTCGCTAAGGTCTGGTGGTTCGTGCAATTGCATTTCAAACTCGTCCCCTGACTGGCTTCAATCAATTCTGCGCTCAGTTGTTCGCCAGCATCAGGTTCACAATGACCTCCGACTCCACGCTGTATTTCACCGCCGTCGAGGAAATGTTCAAGGAAGTGTTAACAATAGAGGACGACGACTTGGTTCCTGGGAACAAGGAGGTTTTAGAAACTCCAAAACGATGCGTGCAATTACGCCAGCAAAAGTTGTTTGCAAGTGACTCCAGTGGTTTTGTGATAAGTCGACGATCTTCGAGGATCGAATCGGCAATAGACTTGAAGGGGGATATATCTCCGGGCAGGCGAAAGGAGCTTCGAAGTGAGGAAATCCTTCGGCTGCGCAAGGATCGAGCGGAAAAAGAACGACAGAAGCCCCAGAGACGTCTAGCCTTGAGGATATAATACCACCGATCTACCGATCAATTGTTTTTTCCAACCACAGTGCTTCCCTGTTGTATGCTTTACTTTAAGATATATTTTTAAGTACTTCTAAGTATGCTACGGTTACGTACAGTAGATCGTAGATGCATTCGACTTTGTGATCTTCAGTTACATTTTCTGTGCCATTAATAAAAAAAAACTACATAAAAAATGTTAATATTGCCTTGATAAATTTTGTAGCTATCTTCCAACATATTTTCAAAAGGTAGTTTGCATATAAAGTTTGACAATATACAAATAAACTGTTGAACTTACAAAAATATGTACTTCTCAGTCCATCAAATTATGTAAGAAAAGATAGATAGTGAAGGTTGTATAAACTGCTTATTTTTACTGAATTTCTTAAAATCTGTAATAGCAAGATTAAAGTTTCTGAAGGCAATAGTTTACATATGTGAACATCATTTCAACGATCGCAAGTATCTCTGCATTCCAAAATTCCGTTTCCAAAATTTATAAAGTCTTGAATGGGTCATGGTTTTATCTATATCCAATACATGCAGTATTTTCAACTTACCAAGTAATAAACAAGAGTCGAGTTTCCCGACTATTAGATACCCGTTACTCAGCCAACAAACTTCAAACTAAGTATTTCCCCTAGAAAACAATCGAAGTTTCGAAATGTGGCTGAGCAACGGCAGAGGGCCGTCACAGGCTCCATAACTTCTAAAATAACAGCGCGATAGATATGACCGAAACGCTTACACAGATCAAGAATATAAACAATATATGTATATGGTTATATGATCGGAAACGCTTTCTTCTACCTGTTACTAACTTTTCAGTAACAGGAATAAAATTTGAAGCACTGTGTTTTCATGTTTTCATGTCTTCGTTCAGTGTTCAGTGTTGTAAGTGTACTTTTTGTACTTTTTGCTCGAATGATTCCTTTAAATATATATATTTAATTTTCCAATTTATGTAGGAAAGCGTTTCTCTTAACTTTCTTAATCTAAAGCTTTAATCGTAGGTATACAAAAGTAGGTACATCAGTTATGTTAAAAGTAGTTATTTAAAACTGATAGTTTCAATTAACGTAAAACTATGCCTGTTAAAACCAATACTAAATAATATTTATAAATAATTATATTTATGCCTTACAGATGTAGACTTCTCAGTATTCAGAAAATGAATTATTTCTGAGCCTGGAATATCCGTCAACTGTAAACAAAAAATAATATATTATAACAAAACCAATTTTTGTTAGTGCACATCAAACTTACCAAATCGTGCACACAATTCAAACTTGTGTCAAGTTTAAATTTGAATGGGTCATGGGTTGTGACACCATTATTTCTCAAAATGTTAACCATTTCGATCAAAAGTGCCTTAGATGGTGTCATTTCTATACCTAACAGTGTTATTTCCAGATAGCGTAGATTCTTGCAGGATATTAATATTTCAAATAATTTATTCTTGGAATACACGTAACCTAAAACTAATTTTTCCAATGTAGTCTTGTGCTTTAAGACAAATTTGTGATGAATCGATAAACTGGACTTAAAAGTTTTTAGCTGCGGAAAAGTTAGCCAGTTTAAAGTATTTGAGCAACAATTTTTTAATTCAAGCTCCTCTATTCCAAAATTTTGAAAATACTTGTAAAACGTTCGAAGCTCCCATAAATTTTCAAGTTTTAAACAACGAAGTTTTTTAAGCGGCCCATACAAATCACACAAATTAATTGCCATTTTACAGTGAAAGTAAACTGCCAAATATTCCAGATTGACTAAAGTACAAATTTCACTTGCTGGAAAAAATGTAAACATGTTCTAAATAATGTTGTATATGCGCTTTTTTTATACTTACGTTCACATCCTAAGTAATAAGTAAATTCCAAGCCGTTTAAGTATTTTATTTCCCTCAGCACACTGAAGATTTCGACACTGGCGACACAATCTATCCACAATCCTACGGACCTCAGTGATTTTAAATTGCCCAAGACTTTGGGCAGTTCGCCTCGTTCATACCAATGCAGATATATTGTACATTTGTACAATACTGCTCAATTAATTTCATCATATGTACAATCGTCTAAAAATTGAAATCTCTCCACAACGCGCCGAACTTTGTGTCCACAAAGTGGCAGAATAAGTGACCAAGGCTTAAAATATAATGAGGTAGACACTTCATTATACTGATCTCGAGCATGATAGACAAAAGCATCCCTTAGAACTGGATGAGTCAGGGCCAATTGACACTTGTCTTGATCGCAAAGCAGGTCGAATATTTTATCCAAGAGCTCTGGTGGTAAATTTATTAAATTTCTTAACGTTTCCATTCTGATGAATTTCCTTGAATTTTCCAAAGTTCCGAGCGTTGCTTCCTTCCTCAACTACGTATTTTGCATATCTATGATCAATTGCCGATATAAAAAGAGTTTACCAAAAGAGCGATAAGGTTTTGATCACTTGAGTTTCTGAGAATCAAATATAAAATGCCTTTGGGAAATAGCTGATACGAGAAGCTTACGCAGAAAGAATTATGACTCACGATCGCTTTTGTTGTATGTATTATTTTGTTAATAAAATTAAATGCCTTTTAAACTAGTCCAATAGGAAAAATACTAATCGGTGGATATTTCTGAACTGTAAATGATTTTAGCAAGACATCATCTGCTGTAAGTGCTTGTAGCTTTTTAGTTTTTTAAGACCGTTCTTTTAATTCCTTAATATGTATTTCTTACCTTTTAATATTTTATACATAAATTTACAAATTTTTTGTATCAGCCCGGTTCCAGTTTTCACTTCCGAAAGATTCACACGGATTCGAATTTTCCAGACCTGATCCAATTTTCCAGATCCGCAAAGCGTGTTGTGTTGACACCTTTTTCATCGTCTTTGGCAAATTTAGTCCCGAACACTACTTGTGAAAAGTTTGAAACACTGGTGCCAAGCAGCTGATTTACGCACAAAATTTAAAATACAATTTTTATAATTGTATTATTACAATTTACAATGTATTTTATTTAATTTTTACAATTAATTGAATGACAATTAATGTACAACTAAAAATAGACAAATTTTTACAATAAATAGTATTTTTTCATAAAAATATGATTCTTACTTTTTAGCTCATACACAAACCTTAGCTAAAACTCATGAAGATAATGTGTAAAAAATAACCATATGTGTAATATATAATAATGGGAGTATTTTAAATATTTATAACGCGAATGTTAAAACTTTCCAAGCAGTGAATGAAACATTCCCAAATAAATTATATATTTTTTTTACACATTTTTACAATTTATAAAAATTTGATTTTATTTTATGTCCATAGGTGATTCGAATATTAACAGGAAAATCAAAATAGCTTCGTATTTTTTTTATCATATACGCATATTAACTAGATACAGATCTTTTTAAAATTTAAAAAACAAATTAAATTTTTTTTTAATCGAACTACTTAACGGAAATTATTTTGAAAATCAGGAAATTTTTTTTTTGTATGCATAATATTCGATATAAGGTCGAACATTAAATTTTAATTATATCTGAAATGGCATCTAAGTTTTGGCTTGTTAAAGTTTTCTTCCTTTTGTGCTTAAATTGATCTGCTGCTAAAATTTATATATGACTATATTTAAGTAGTCAGGTTAAATTGGTTGTTATTTCTTTTCTTTTTAGTGTTCGATTACTTTGTCTAATATTTACTGCCCTTATCAAGCAGGTTAATGATCTCAAATGACTTTGACAACGCTTGGGCTTTCTTTGACATTTAAGTGCTAACGATTTCTTTCTACTTAAAGATTAAGTAAACTAAACCTTCCACCGTATCTATAGAGTTGTGCCCTTGGAAGGCTTAACACAGCTTAGCAACTATTAAAACTAATTATGAAGCGCAAGCCACTTGAAATCGGTATTTAATCCCAAAACGGATTACCTAGGGCCCTTCGGAAAATACTCTTAAGTACAGGCAAAGATTATACAATACAACATAATAAGACTATATGTCTTATTATGTTAAAGCAAGGGATTTGCAAATTTGTGGGATACAAGTTAACATAACGAATGAATTGAATACTTTTATTTCTGAATAATGAGTTTTATTTAAGGTCATTTCACTTTTATGTCAGCTAAAAATTTAAGAATAATAATTGTCCATTATTCAGGGTCTTCATCGCAGACAAACCTTATCCGCAGTCAACAATTAAGGAACTATATTATAGTATTTATTTAATTTTAACACCTAATTGCATTAATTCTTTGGGCTATCAAATTAAGTCGACAGGAAAACTGGTTTTTAATTTATGGAATTTAGTATTATAAATTAATTTTCAGTTTTCAGTTTATTTTTGTAAAAAAAATATCAATTTACAATCCATTTTGGGTACCCTCGCTTATATAATTAGTCGTGATAGTTATTTCTTGCAATAATAATAATCAACTAAGGCTAGGCATTATCTGGATCATGACATTGAGTTTGTTCTTTATCACAATTTGAAATTAATTTAAAAAGAACGAATTAATCATTCCAAACAAAATGATTTGCAATTATTTTGGGTTCATTCCCGTGTTATTATTGCAAATCACAACGATTACATATAGAAGAAGCCCCATTGACCTTTTCCCGTTCCTGTGACATCGTAAAATCTTGTGCAACATCTATTTTTCGACCCATTGATACGATTAGTACACCTCCCATTCCATTCGACTTTTACCATTCCAATAAACTGTTCATTATCAACCCGTGCGACCAATACAAAGAAAGCCTAAGATCGTCGCCGTCAACAAGTTTAAATGATTTGTAGTTTTCGTAGTTGTTGTTGTTGCCATGTCTATAGCGTGTCTGATGAAGGCAGCTCTTCTTCTTCGCGAGGCGAACGAATAACGGACGATCTTGTAAAATTCGCTGTAGCTAAAGTATCCAATATTTTTATTTCAAATTTGGTCAGTTGATTGGGGTAGATCTAATCTATATACTGTCAAAAAATCATTTAAATACCTATTTTAGGAACCGCTCAAATCGCCCTTGTTTCTCACTTCCCAACGGGTACTTCGATTTTAATGATTTTTGAAAAATCAGATACATGAGTTCGAGTACTACCAACTGACCTGATCTAAGCCCATTTCCTGCATTCTGTCATATAGAAAAGATTTAACAAAAAACATTTTAAATCTTCCATTCGCTGTAAACAAAAATGCCCTGCTATTTTCGCCCGTTTGCTTTGACTTATCGCCAAACACGCGTCGAACCGGCTTGCGTTGGAGTGAAAGGGAGGGGGCGAGTGGGGCTGAAAAAGGGGGGCCGACGGGTGAGAGAGAGCAGAAGAGCGTGTATTATTATAGCTTTGTGGGAAGAGCAAAAAAGACAGAGAGAGTGGGGAAAAGATGTGCTCTCCTCTAATCAAAAAAACAACAAAGAGCGGTCAAATCTGACGAAATTTGGGTTGAAGGCCTGGATACATAGTCTATCTGTATCTTTATACAAAGACGGGGTAAGATGGATTTCTTAACCTTAGGTGAAGTACGAGGAAAATTTATGGTTATTAGAAATATTGCCAGGAATGGTAGCACTATACAAATGACAGCGGAATCTATAAAATAACTTTCTCTAAATGACAAAAATGGCTCAACGTAAGCAAATATTTTATGCTTAAAAATATTTTAAAAGTTAATAATAAATCATAGGCTTTTTTATTTTAATCTAGTAAATTATTATTTTTTTTTTAGATATATTTCCTCTCATGAAAATGTAACCCAAAGTGGCCAAATTTGACGAAAAATTTTAGTTTAAGGCTTAGGATATAAAAAACGTATTTATTTAAGCATAGGCAAAAAATAAAAAATACGCAAACTACATATATTTCTTGATAAGGTAAAGGCTAAAATATTTTGTGAAGCCAAATAAAACGAGTACTAGTAAAATTTACTTCCGACGTATGACATGGTTTTCTTAATTTATTTTAGACGTGTGGTCTAAAAAAATTACCTAAATATATATACCTCTTGAGATATTTCGTCTTATCAGATCTTTCCCATGAGTAAGTGCATTTCTTTCTATTTTCGATCAATTAATGCTAGTCACTCCCGCCAGTAATTTATAGATCCTCAAATTAGCAAAACGTTTTAGATTAGAATAAAGCTACTGATAGTTTTCACAATTTATAGACGTGAACAATTTAAATACTTCACAATTTTTAAACTTTTCTTATATTTGTTAAGCTACATATATATTGTATAGGTATGTTCATACATAGAGCGAAACTATTGCAAAATTCTTGAGGTCAGTCACTTCACCGTCCTTGGGTAACAGATATTTATTGCTTTGCCATTTTTAAAATTCCTCTTGTATAAATACTACGTCTATAACATTTTTAGAAATATTTTTATTAAGCAGACCCATTTATAAAATACATGGATTATAATACAAACAAAACCAAATTTCACCAGTTATTCGATCAGGTATTGTCTTGACAGCAATGCAAACTCATTAAAGTTTAATAAACAGATGACCCAGCGAATTTGTTATCGGTGTGTTGAGTGCAGATAAGGCAGGATCCTGGACAGGAACTTAATATGACTTGCAAGCTGTTTATCACCCCAGATTATTCAGTCAGTTATCTAGGCTTTTGTTTTTGCAATTTCGGCACATGACGAGGATCACTTCGACTAATACTCGTGTACTTAATACTAAACGAAGACGCACTTCTGTATTTGCAGATTATTTTATTGGTCAAATGCTGGCAAGAATAAATTCACTGCCTTAATGTGTGATATAAAAAAGATATATTTTGTTAGGCAGGAGGTACCTGCATGTTGTTTTTTGCTCAAAATTATGCAGAGTATAACAATAAAATAGTATTTTTTGTAGTTTAACTAAACTGAACCACCCAAGAACAAGTTCATGAACTTTAATTTGAGATATATTTTTATTATTATAATAAAATATATATGTTTTTCCATATATTTAAGTGTCTTTTCTAATTCTACATAATACACAATCTGTTTTGAACAAGCAAACTCTTGATAAAATTACCCCCCTAGGTGTACGATCTACGCTTAACATCTATGCACATTCGACCATGTCAGCAGTAGAGACCCTGGCCCTCGTTTTGCTCCACGTGGTAGTTACAGTACTGGCGCTGGGTGGGCGTAAGACCCATGGACTCCACCTCCGCCTTGAACTGCTCCATGCCTCCGACTCCGGCCAGATAGCCATTGAGTTTGGTGGCCACATAGCTGGTCTGCAACAGTTTTGGGGTGAGATTCAGCGAGGATGCGAGGTCCTTGTGACCCTGCAGTCTGTACTTTTGATGGTACCTAAGGGGAAAGAGGGTATTTAACATCAAGGGGTCAAGACGTGTGCTATTTTTAACTTACGCCTCGGCTGGGTAAAAGTTCTCCTTGGACGCAATTTCCGTGGTTATGATTTCTGGAGCGCGACGCTCCTGTTCCTCCAATTTGGAAGCATGTGCAATCCGCTTCTGTTCATCGTCGTGGTACAAAATCAAGGAGGCATACTGGCGCTTAATGGGCGTGGTCAGTCCATACTCATGGTTGTTCCAGAACAGATCCAACAGCTCCTTGAAGCTGATCACAGTGGGATCATAGTCGATTTCCAGCACCTCCGTGTGATCGCCCCTGTTGAGATTTGTGGTTAGTACCAGATCCGAAAGGTTTATGGGATGGGGAACATATGTCGAAGGATGTCGAAGGAAAAAGAAATGTACATGTTAGGATGATCAGTGCTCTGGATCCGCTATCTTACATTTTACGGTACGTTGGCAAGTCCGAGCTGCCGCCGGCGTATCCCACGGTGGTTCGCAAGACCCCACGGGTAGCTCCATATAGAGATTCCGCGCCCCAGAAACATCCCATACCAAAGGTGGCCGTGGCCTTTGGAATATTCACATCGTGAACCGGCGAAATATTCAGTTCCTTCTGTTCATTGCGAACGGTGCTCTGGAAGAAGAAGAATAATGGGGGCGTATGAGCAACAATTTCACCGGATTTAGATATATAATTCGTTTTTATGGCGCACCAGAAACAAAAAGGTCAAACCGTAACCATAGCCCGGTAAGCAACGCATTTTATTACAAACAAATAAACGAAAAAAACTTTTAGATTCAGATTTAGATTTTTTTTGGTTTTTGAGATACAAGCTTCAGGCGTCTGATGTCGTCAGCAAAATAATGCACTCTTTACAAAACTCTCTCTCTCTCTTTCTCTCTCTGTCTGATTTAACTCTCTTCGCCTTGCAATTGCAGCTGTTGAACAGCTGATTTAACAGACTCTCGCTCTCCCACACAAAATCAATTTCAAAATCAAGGTCAATAAAAAAACTGTTTAAAAGAAAGTAAAAGTCGTTGTTCGATGGGGCTTCTTTTGGAAAACACAACAACTAACGTTTGCACAATATTAAATCACTCTCCAAAATAAACACTCTCCAAATAAAACACCTTTTTTAAGCTGCTAAAACTTGCCTTGAAATTACGAAACAGTCGCGAAAACATTGCGTGCAAACTGCTCAACTGTTGGGAAGCAACTAAACATGGCCAAACAAATCAAATTCCTATAGCCAACAAATTGGTGTGAACATAAAGTTAAATTATTCTGAACATTAGATGACGGAAACTGGCTTTTATGACTAAGCACATGAAACATCAAACAATTGGCTACTTGACCTTGTAAGGGTTCAAGAAACTTTAAGCGTTTTGAATTCGTAATAGCATTCTGTACACCCAGGTAATTTAATTCAAATTTTAATGTTTTTAGAGAATTGTTACTAATAACAGGCTATATTTATTGAGAGGAACTATTTAAAATTACAAATTAATTTAAAAATAAATGTTCACTGTTTAGAGACCGATATTAAATACACTTTAAAATAGTTGAAGAGGAAATGCGTTAAAAAATAATAATCACTGTATAAAGGATATTAACACTTTTTTAAAGCAGGACATTCAAAAACACTTTTTACAGGATCTAAAGGCGCCAATCACAAGTTCTCGGATGAGTTACTCACCAGATCCTTGAGCTCAGGATGCGAAACAGTTGGGGTAATAGTCAGAGACATGATTTCACTACGTTTTTTTTTTTTATTTAATGTGTTGCTTTGAAATTTGAAAGCAAAACTGATGCATCTGCAGACCGGTCGCTCCAATTTATAGCGCCGCCTCTCCGCTTTCTACGGGAAATATAGAGAGCCGCGCTATCTTTATCAATTCTCCCGCTCTTCTGGCGGCCCCGTCTCTTGCTCCCTCTCACAATTCTTCGCTGATTAAAACTGCGCAGCGCTACAGGTTTCTTTCGGACCCACAATGGACGATCGTACAGCCGGGACATTTGATCAGGGTTAATAATTTAATTGCCTTATATATTCTAATTTAAACAAGTCAAGTGCAGTCTTTTGTGGTCTCCGGATTATTAATTAGTGGTCATTTGTTGGGCTCGTATTTCAATCGACTCAAACGCAAAATAAAGTCCAGCAGGAACATTTGTATCTTGATCTCCTTCGGATTCTCGGTGACATAAAAACCGGGAACTCCGGCCTTTTGAAGGGTGGATTGTTGGTCGTTAACCTGAAAGATATAAGTTGAAAGATTAAAATGGTACTTAAGTACTTAATTTGATTTATGCAGACTTAGTTTTGAGATTATTATGCACTTTAAACAAAAGTTTATCATTAATTTAAGTTAAAATTAAAGTTAGTTTAGATACTTATTCATTTTAAAATAGTTAAAGCTTTCCCGTAACAAATCAATCACTTAACAAAATTATTTTGTAATTATTTCATTAGTCCTTGAAAGATTATTCTAATTTTAAGTAAAAGTTTTTTAAATAATTCTCGTTTTAAACGCAACACAATATATTTTAAAATTTTTGACTTTTAGCTGAAGTTAAATTCAGTTCAGATAGCAGAATTATATGGAGCCTATAGTACGGTTGTTAAATGGGCACCTTTTGATCAAGTATTTCAATAATCTTCTTGTCTGATTCAAGCAGTTTCTTCGTGTGCTTGATTTTCATGAGGCCCAAAATGTGGTGAAGCTCCTCGGGATCCTTGATTTTGCTCCTCCACTCGGCCACCTCAATTTCATACTCGTTTTCCACCTGCATTCGCATTTTGATCAAATGTCTTTCGGTTTCGTGTTGCAATTCCATTAGGGCTTTAACAATCACAAAAATCCCCTCATTCAGCACACAATTCGCCAGTTCGGTGAGTAAATCATAGGAAATTCGCGTCTGTAGGTTTCTGTAGTTAAAAAGGATTAATTAATATTTAAAAACGTGTAAATTTAAGGACTTACTCTGGAAGTTCCGAGTGATAGGAGCGCAGTTGATCAACAAGAAAATATATTTTTCGCTGCAGAAATTCCGGTGTCGGCTGCTGGTGCTCTACTAAAGCCTCACTACTATTGGAATTGCCCTCGTTGTTTGCCGTAATGTCTGTCATCTTAAGTAGTTGTTATTTATTATATAAATTTTATATTTCAAGTTAATGAGTAATTTTTCGCGTTTATTTTGTTTTTAGTGATTTTTTGTGCATCCGCACTCTAAATTCGCCGCTTCGCCGCAAGAACAGCTGTGCGCCAGGGCTGCCAGATAGATCAACAGCAGTGTGACCACAAACAAATTGATTGCCCACATTATCGTCAACCAGAAAAAGGCGCGTAACGTATTAAATTTAAATTTGATGTATATATTTTATTGTATGAGAGCGAGGAAGAAAATATTTGACTTGTTCGATTTGAAATCAAAGTTGCTTATAACTAAGGTGATCACATTGGGGCATGATTAGAAGTTCAAAGATTTGCGAGCCCTGATAAAGTGTTTGTCCGCCTCGTAAGTGTACATGCGATTGAGTTTGTTTTTGCGGCGTTTCTTGAGTTCGGTTTGAAACTTTCCGGTTCCACTGCTGCTGGGGGTGGCGGGCACTAGTCCATACTTCTTGCTGTCCAGGGAGTAGCACTCCCGGCTGCCCAATTCCCTCTGTTCCTTGGGGGTTTCCACAATTTTCAGGCTGTTCAGGCGCTGCAGCACTTGGTTGGTTTCGTTGGTCGACATGATGACTTTTTGGTTGAACGGGAAGTTAATGTGAAGCTTGACGTGGTTGCTTTGATACTGATTTCCTTTTGCCCCCCGACCCTCTTTATATCCAGTTGATGTGTGTGCAATTTTTCAGGGGTCATAAATATCTTTGCGGAAAATATTGCTTATCCGTTTCCCGCATCTGTCGTTTTATGACCCTACCTGCTCGTAATTTAATTTTCCACTGAAAAATCTCGCTAATCCCTTTTTAATACGTTGGAATTACGCGCGCAGGTAGTAAAAACGTTTACTTTACTGTCGCCATAAAGTCCGCCTTTAAATATTTCTTAAATTTTCTAAAACTTCTTCCAATGTATTTTTTAAGTTGAAACGGGGAACTTATAAATAAAATAAATTCTATAATTTTTATACTCTATCATTCCTTTTGTTAATGGCATATGGTAGTTTGGGTTATGGTAGTTTGACTGTGTATAAAATATCGCTAATATATTTCGAGTTTCCAATTACTCAAGCATGTACTGCATTTCAAAAAAAGTTGTAAAGCATTTTAAGCCAGCGCAAAATCCATTAAAATTAAAACAGTTGTGCACTCATCATATTTTAAAAGAGTAGGTTAACAATAACTTTATATATAATAACCAATATAAGCGGAAGTCAATATCAAATTTTGATTTTATATAAACTTTTTAATCAAATTATTAGCCCTTTAAAATTTCGCGCGCAGATAAAAATAATTTATAGCCCTCAGCAGAGTGTACACACTGTACGAATCATATGGTAACCATGCACGTGTATCGGTTGAACAGTTTATGCGGAACGCATCTTCGTGACTTTTTAAAGCTGAATAACAGTACATACATAATTTGAATTTTTTTTCCTTTAAATCGTATTGCATATTAACAGAAAAATGGAATACGTATTTTCAATTGGCAAGCGAAAATGCTACGCCTAATTTTAAGCGATCAGGTTTTGAGATTCTCCAAACATCGCGTACTTGTCCGCATAAACCCGTTAACATATGGCTTTAGCTGGTGTTTCTCTTAACATTTCGTTATGCGATTTGAGTGGAGCAATGCATTGGAGCTTCGTCCGCCGCACAGAACGTTATCGTTATAAAACACACGCATTTTCCAGGAGCAATCAAGTGCGGTTGTCGGTGAATTAAATCGAAATTAAATCAATTGATACGACTGCAGTGAAATAGAAGAGCGTGAATTCATCATCGCTTTAACTAGAGTGTATTGTGTAACCTTTCAAGACGATGACAGACCAAAAGGAGGCGACGCGCGGAAGGGTGCCACTGATCATATGATTGCACAAGGGGTAAAGAACTGAAAACATAGCAAACATACATTTCGTTGCCAAAAAAGAAAACAGTATCACGAAAATCGGAAGGACAATATTTGCCCTGGTATTTTCTCCACTACCCATCATGTACACAATCAACAAGGGCCCCAGCAAAATCGTTGCTAAAACTCGTCGCGGTGAGTGATTAATAATAATAATAATAATAATGGTTAATAATGATACAATAGACCCTTTTAAGAGAGAGCGCTTTTGCCCAGCTGTTATGTCACAACTATTCTCTTTTCTGCTGGCCTCACTCTCCCGCTCTCTCCTGTTCTCTCTTTATCTGTTAACTTTTTGTTTTGCCGGCTTTTCCACTGCAAATAAATGAATTACATTTTCATCATTCTTTTTTTTTTTTTCATTGCAGGCCTGGCACAAAATTTTGAAAAATTCGAAAGCATCAAGGAGAGCGGCCGGAAAAATGCCAGTTTCGATCTGAACAGTCCCGAGGAGCACAAAAAGTAAGAATCTTGGCTGCTTATGCAAACACCCAGCACATGGTGAAAATGTGGAAAGCGAGGGAAAAGTGGCGGAGGTGGGGGGTTCGAGACCCTCGTCTTATCTCTGACATTTTATCGCAAGAATCCGTGGCGACCTAGCACCGTAATGCTAATTGCCATTGCTCCCAAGCATATACACTTACATATACTCTCCCTAGGAGACCCAAGGGAAACACGTGGGTCAGGCGTCGGTTATCGGCTCCACTTTTATTTAAATGCCCCGGAGGCATTGACTTTTCCACGACCGTTACGTCACGACTTCAACGCAACTTCTCGGGTATACTTAGCCAAAGTCTACGCTAAAAAAAACTCGCAACTCGGTCTTGTCAATTAATTGTTGGGTCTATTAGAGTTGTGTCTATATAGGACTTTCTACCAAGGACTTTCTAAGAGGAATATGCATATCAATTTTTTTTAATCTGTATTTATTATGACCGTTTTTGTAATATATTTAAATCGACATGTTTTTGATCACGACCATTACATCACATCTCTAACTGAGAAGTGTGCGGATTTTGTGGATTTATTTAAAAATAAAACTTGAAAATTTGTTGTAGTCTTCAAACACCGCTATAAAGATATCTTACAGGTGTTATTTTTTTTGAAATTTCTTTTTCAGTTTTTTACACGATTGCACTTTTTTGAAGACCTTTTTTTAAAATCAATAACACAAATCCTTGTCAATCAACAGATTGGTCCTTAAGCTGTTTCTTCAGCATTTATTTTTCAAAATCAAATTAAAATCATTGTTTATTTAAATCCTACCATTTATGATAAATAAGTGTATTAAATTTAAGGTCTTAAAATCCTGTTGTATTTCAATTAAAAATTCTATTTTACCGCAATCGTTAAACTAAAAGCAATGCACTCGCAATAATTACGAATTAAAATGCATTTAACGTTTCCAAAACTGAGTACCGTGTTGTCGAACCCAGATTCCCCACCTTTGCCTTATTTTCCTCAAGTGATTTATTTTTGAAGCCCACATGTTTGAGGGGAGAACTGTGTGATTTGCATAAGTGCGCTGTCGTTAAAACACAAAAGTATTGTTATTAAAATCGAATATGCCTTTATTTCGTTTTTGAAAACAGCATACCGCGTCCAGTGTTTCAACAGAGCTTCGCCTCCAAGCGGATCACGCCTACCAAACTGATCGAGGATGAGGTGATAACGCCGCAGCATGAGGAAATTATACGTTACATAAATGACTGTGAGTGACTTATGATTTGAACTTAGTATTTACAAGCTCCAGGGTCAAAAAATATTAATACCTAATCTAAAATAACACACTTTACTTTTAAATATACGATTTGCAATTAATTAACCCCATCATAAAATAAAGAAACAAAAATATTTTGAAACTATTTACTACATTGGAATTGTGATAACTTGTAAAGTAAATGATTTACCTGAAAGTTCAAGTAATATGTTTAATGATATGCTTCGATTAAAATATAAAAAAATTTCGTATTTAGTTTTAAAAGTGTAATTTATCGAAGCCTAATTTAAAATACAATTAAAGTCGAGTTAGAGAAGATATCAAATCTGTGTTATTTTTAAAGACTTTTTGTTAATTTATATATTATATATTCTTTTTTTACAGCCTGGAACATTCTGGTAGCGCAGAATCCCTACGATTCGAGTTCGTCCGCCAAGCCCGCCGAGAAACCGGTGGCGGATGCCAACAACAATAGCGCCGCAAGCCCGGTGGAGAGCATTATGGCCAACACGCCGGTGCCCGCATCCTCGACAGCTACCGTTTGGGTGGAGCCGCCCAGTCCGGCGCTGCAAGACTTCAAGCCCTTCGACCTGGAGTCATGGTGGGGCCGTCGCCTCTTCCAGAACATCACCAAGAGCCTCTAGAAAGGATTTCAAGGATCGTGAGAGATAGAGCCTGCTCTTTGGTAATTCCTAGCTAGCCAGTGCTTCCTTTTGTACTTGTACGTTCGACTGGACATGGGCAAAATCACACTAGATATATTACTGTAGACGAGACAAGGAACTTGCGTAGATTTCGGTTAGTGGCTAAGTAAATATCACTTGGGACGTTAGTGGTTAGGCAGCCTCTGATGTGGCAAGTCATGGCTTAGTTTCTTCTTGTTTTTTTAAGTGTGTAAATGAAGTAAATTAAGAGTCGTCGCCGTTGGCCAATGTAAATAATACCTACGATTTCTAGTTTGCACTTAAGAATGTGTTATAGAGCCGTAAGAAACGTATCATCTGGTTTTGCTTGCCAGTTTTTTAAAATCAACACTCTTGTGAATTGTACAAAAAACGATATAAGGTTCAAATTGTCATCAAATTTTGCAATCCATTTTGGTTTCACTCATGTTTGTAATTGCTGATTCAAATCTAAATAATTGTATATATATATTAATAAAAATGTAGTATCTTTTGTGGACTATAGTTAAGATTTAGGAATATCAAAGGTAGGAATTGGTTGAGCCGATTCCTTGCCACTGGCATGCATGTATTTAGTTTCTCATTCTAGATCGTTTTATGTTAAGCATTAATAAAAAATTCAGCCTGTTGCAAAATATTTTTACTCTGTATTTTATTTTACAATTGCTGGAAGTAATAGACATTTTTTGTTGGCAGATTGCTGTTTAATAATGGTAGTCAATTATTATCTAAAGCGTTTTATAGTTATTAAATGTCTATGTTTTCTGGTAATTACTTGTTTATTCTGAAGGTGAAAAGTTTTTCGTAAGAGCCAGCGGCAAAATTATCAGGATTTATTCTAAAAATTTAAAAATTATCAAATTTCACTATTAATTTTAAGTGTCGGCTTAGCAACATCTTTTATTCTTTTATAAGATAATTATATGACTCTTTAATAAGTTTGTTTTGTTGTTCAAAATTGTTTTTTAAAATACTTCATATTTATTTATCGGTGAGTTTTCTCAAAATGATTTAATTTCAAAGCTTTATAAAAAATATGTTAATTAAAATTTTTATAAAATTATTTTTAAAATCATAAACATAATCTTCAGTTCCTTAAAAACTATAGGCATAGCTAAAGTCAAAACAATAAGCTTGACAAGTAGCTTAATAAGCTTTTGTTTATATACAAAAACTGGTACCTCACAATGGAAATGTGATTCTTTCTTGCCAAATATAATAAATTAAGGTCTTATTTAAATGTAAACTAATGCAACTTATTGCAGTTGGAAATTTTGCAAATTCCCCCATTTTATTCGTTTTTGCTTGATAACCCATAATGCGATAGTATCGATCAAAACAATCGATTGCCCATTATCAATGTTTTTGCAGCCGTAGTGTAAATAGGGCATAATAGTTGACAAAACATCGATGACATCGAAGTTGAAATCGATGTTTTTCCACCTCTACCAAACCTGCCGAAAATATAATTTTTAAGAACATTGCGTTTATTGTTAGTTAATTGAATTAAACAAAATGGCAGGTGATGGCGAGGCGGTTGGGGAGCTGGAATCCCGCTTGGGGGATGTGAGCCTGGAGGACATAGGGGCGCGTCATCGTCGCGAACGCAAGGAACTGCAGGCCAAGTTGCAGGCCATGAAGAAGAATGCCCCGAAGAATAACAAAAACAAGAGGAAGGAGTTCCTGGAGGAGATGGCTCGCTTAGAGGGAGAACTGGACCAGCGTCACAAGGCGGAACTGCAGTCGGCGGAGGCCAAAGACGCGCCAGCGGAGGCAGAAGTTAAGAAGCCAGCAGAGAAGCCTGTGCCAAAGGATGAGGAGAACGAGGAAAAGCAGGAGGAGGAGGAGGAGGGTGAGGAGCAGCTGCCCTCCAATCAGCGAGTGTCCAAGGCTCAAAAACGACGCGATAAGAAAGCCAAGGAGGCGCGCGAACGCGAGGCGGAGATCAAAACGGAACTCCAGAATGCCGCCAATCAGCCAACACCCAAATTAATCGAGCTCCAGCAGATCACAGCTAAGCTATCGGAACGCCAATTGTCCCTCCATAATATAGCTTCCGATGGCGATTGTCTGTATCAGTCCATCAGACACCAACTGATTGTAAATGCTCTTCCAGGTAATGGATGATTATCCATCCACATGTCACCACATGCAAATGAAGCCTTTATCTTCAACTTACAGGTCACAGTGTTCAGGAGCTGCGAGAGGAGACGGCCAACTATGTGCGTGCCCACAAGGAGTCGCTAATCTCGTACATGGTCCATCCGGAAACGGGAGATCTGCTGAACGATCAGCAGTTCGAGAATTACTGCCACGATATAGCCAAAACTCACGCCTGGGGCGGCCACATCGAACTGAAGGCTATATCCTCGCTGCTGCGAGTGCCCATTGAGGTCATCCAAGCGGAGGGAGCACCCACACTGCTGGGACAAGAGGAGTTCGGTGGTTCACCGCTGGTCATCTGCTACCATCGCCACATTTACCAACTGGGCGCCCATTACAACTCAACAGTGCCAGTTGCCTAAAGCAAACACAATCCCCAATTACAACACAGATATACAGATAACTCACTCGATTTTGTAACCTTGTTCATTATTACACATTTATGTTGACATTTATAAATACGCATTATGCAATTGGAAGATTTGAATTATTGTCAAAAATTGCAAGTATGTAGTAGTTATATACAATAATATAATAGTCAATATGATAACAGTTAATAACAATTAGGTTAGCTAGCAACTTAGCTGGATTTGTTCTAAGAAAATATTTCTTATATCGAAAAATAATTTGTCTAGCTCAAATTTAGTTCAGTTGTGGCGGTTTAGTGTAAATTCAAGCAATAATTTGATTATTCCTCGAGCCTAACTACGTATTACTTGGTAATGTTGTTGCAACAACCCATTATTTGTCCATTTTTCTAGGTAAAGCGATCGATTTCAATTATTTGTCCTTCTTGCTGTCCTTGGGCTTCTTAGCAGCCGCCGGCTTGTTGGGATAAATAGCAAACATGGCCAGCTGAATTCCTCCCAAAACCAGCAACAATAGATTCTGCAGCTGAAATATAAGATTTATTAATTACAGTTTATGTTTTAGAAGGAGGTATTGTTAATAATTAGATCTATTTGGACTAATATGGTTTTTATCTGTCTCATTGTTGGGAATTCTTTTTATTAACATCTTAATCTTTTAGCTCTTTAAATATATATTTTTCAAGACTTACCACCATCACAGTATTCTTGATGGATATGGCGTACACCATCCAGGATGCAGCCACCATATTACCGGCCAGGATAATTGGAAAGGGCATGCCCTCGGTGCTCTTCTTCTCAATGATTTGCGGCAGATGGAGGAGTGGCGAGCCCACCAACCATACCAGGATGCCGGTGATCAGCATTCCCAGACGGAACTCGATCTTGGCAGGATCCTCGAAGTTGGCATATGCCGTGACGACCAATAGGAACACCGAGGAGCAGCCGATCTGCTTCCAGATGGTGCCCCTGCTGCCGCTGGAGGCGTAGTAGTAAAAACCGACCAGGAAGACGAAGTTGATGACCAGTCCAATTAAATTGGTATTGATCATGGCAGCATCGTTCATAATATTTGCCAGCTTTAAGCTGAGAACGGTCCTGGAATAGGGAAGTTAATAGATTAGCTTGGGAAATGTATTTATAATAATAATAGTTTGAAAAATGTATTTATATTTTCGTCAAGCTAATAATTTAAACAAAGTAGGGAAAATATAAAAATGCATATTTATAATAGGTACATTTTAAAGTAATTTCTTTTTATAAGGGCGATAAAAAATTTATTTTTGTTTTTATTTTTAAAAATAGATTAGATATTAATATAATTTTTATTTCAATACAAAGTGCATATAAAAGAAAATTTAAGGTTATTTTCGTAAATTTTGATTAAATCATTTATTTGCAGTATATTGAAAATGAATTTTAAGAAGTTATTCTCAGTTTTCATTTTCCTTGAACAACTTAGACAACATCAAAGGTTTTTGTTTATTGATGTGAAAGCATTTGAGCACTTCAGATTGACCCATTACTATTATTTTGACCGCAGCTGTATAAGATGTGAGCGTTCCTTGTGGCACCTCTCATTTGAATTAGAAGCTCAGATGGGACTTGTATTCTTAATTTAATAGAAGCGATACCTTATCTATTTGCAAAGCAGGCTGATAAGCTTATTCATATGTTACTTGTTGTTTAGCTCAGCAGTTCCTTTCATTTAATATAAAAAATAACAGAAAAAATCCACAAAAACAAATAAAGTACAAAATAAAAATTATTTAATTTCCAAAAATTTCAATTTAATTTATTTGAAAAGAGATCATATTTTCACGAAGACCAACTTAAATTATTCAAATTCGTAAGTCAGAGAACAAGTTTTGCCTACAACAAATCTGTACAAAAAGCTTAGAGAAAGGGAAATGGAACCAGTTTTCATTTTGACTGCTTTACTAACCATTAATAATTAACATTTTACTCTACAGAGTGATAGTAAGGACCTGTTTCTGTTTAATAATTATTTTATCAGTTTGATTTACATGTTGTTATATATATCATTAGATGCACTAATGCCGACTCAAGTGGGTTTTTGTGGCATACCAGAATATAATAGTGATTTGCAAATCATGCTACACGTAGCCATTGATAAGAAGGAAAATAAATAACCAGCGATACCATCGATCAACTTATCATAATCACACAACACAATGGTGAAATACATTCGTGTTTTGTGCAATTGAATACAAACTGCCCGCGAAATTGCCCTTGACCTACACCTTGTTTCGAATGGAACTCATTTAGCATTCAACTGTTGCTTCGCTTGCATGTCTGGGGGTCCTTACACTTGACACAGTCCAAGTTAACACCTTCCGGAAGTCACCCCCTCACAGGCCATCAGTGTTGGCAGAGCTACGACAGAGTACCTGATTCTCAAATAATATTTTATATTTTTAGGCTTTGTAAGTAAACCAAATAAAAATAACTAAATGGGTTGTGAAATCAAAAATAAATGTCTCACACTTTCGATTGGTAAATCTCTAAGTTGTTAAAGTAAAACATAGATAGAACAAAAAAAATTCATTCAATTAGTGAGTAATGAAAAATTATCATTGAGAATGTTATCTGAGGGAAGCAGAAAATGCACTTAAATCTTATTGATAAGCTATGCACATATGTCTTACTTAAAATTAGATACTGTGCGATTACGCTTCATAAAATAATATTTTAAAATTTCAAAAATAAAGTTGTGTTTGTTAGTTCCGTTAGGTAATTATAGAAGATTATAGCACTTGGGTACAACTACTCAGATATCCATAATTATAGAAGATTATAGCACTTGGGTACAACTACTCAGATAGTTCCCATCACTGGAAACCACCCCCTGGAATGTGCCACCCACTTTATTCCGGGCACGTGGAGAAGGCAAGGCATCTATCTTTCAATTGTCTCATAAACTATTAGAGGAGCTCTCCCAGATTGGACAGACCAAACCGGATCAGCATTCCTAAAACTATATACACTCCAGAGATAAGAGCTACATATGTGTTTTTGGAAGCCCCGCATCGATAAGAAGACAAAGGTCAACGAAAGCTACATAAACCTTTTCAAATTGTAACGGACGAAGATGATCGAAGTGGATTTCGATTTGGCCATCGTGTGATGTAACCCATTCCATTGCTATCCTATTGCATCGAGTGCAAAACCGATTTATGTAGTAGCGGCCTTGAGAAGAACCGATTCTGTGGTGTCATGACGACAGTTTGAAAATTTAATCAATTCCCACACAGATGCGTTTGGCATTTGTTTATTTTTTTTCCTTTGTTTTGTTGGGTGTCGTATGCAGTGGAGTACTCACAGCACCACTCCGCCGAGAAACGGACCCACCGGGTAGACATCGCTGCTGCCCTTCTTCCGGATGTCGTTCATCAGCGCCACGCCGGACAGAAACTGCAGGGTAGTGATGGTGCCGGCCACCTTGGCAATGAGTTCGCTATGAGGCGCCAATAGGTCACCCAGTGTCTCCATCATGATGATGATCTTAAGTGCTGACCGCTCAAACGAGTTATGTATGTATGTGTGTGCGGTTGGGAGGGGGACGAAGTGCCGCCGAGAGTATATAAACAAATGAACGAAAACAAAAACTAACGAACGACTGGCGGCTGCCGTAACAACAAACGAACAAATACTGAGCCCCAAACGGCGGCGCTGGCAACGTTTTATAGGCGAAAACGCCCTAGAAATGGACGCAGTTCCCCGATTCTCGCTATCGTTATCGCGACGCGGGCTCTTATCGGATCCAAATCGTATTTCGAACTTGCACAAAATGTTACAGCATGTGACAAACAAGAGAGATTTCTCTTCAGGTTAACAAAATAAAGTATTTAAGAGCAATTAACCTTTAGGAGAAGCTCTAAATACCATGAATTATCGGTTAATCATATATAATCTAAACTTTCTTCGGCTATATTCTATAATATTTATAGTAAAAGCTTCTCTCCAGGCTAACAAAATAGGGTATTTAAGAGCAACTAATCTTTAGGAAAAGCTCTAAATACCAAGAATTATCCGGTAATGGATTATATGATATACTTTCTAAGACTATATTCTATCATATATATAGTAAAAGCTTCTCCTAAAGGTTAGTGTTACAATTCCTTTGTAATTGTAAGACCAATAAAATGTTAAACAAGTGTGAAACCATTGAATTTCTTTAAAACAAAATTAGTTAGAGAAAGCTGTATGCCAAAGTATTGTAAAAACTATTGTATAAACTAAAAAATATTTTTCATTTTCAAGATATCCTTTCAACAGCCTACATCTCTAGAGAATATGCTTTCATAAAGTATGCTTCCGCTTATTTGGGCCTTACAAAAATCAATTTTATTCAAACTTATCCAACTATAGGCGTAAAAAATCGCCTTTAGACCTCCTCCTTGAGCACATGCTTTTTCTTTTCGCTGACGTAGGGCACCTTGCCCTTCTTGGAGTGCTTGCGCACATTGGCCTCCTTGACCTGCTGCTTCTCCTTGACGGTGCGCATCTTCTTCTGGGCATTGAGCACGTGACGCGGCACCTGCCGATGGCGAGCGATTCGCTTGATCTGCGGATGGGCGGCATACTTCTGCTTCAGCGCCTCCTGGTAATTGAAGTTGACCCGTTCGCGCGGCCGAATGACGCCCAGTTTCTCGGATGCATTCGCCTTCCACATGCGCACGTTCATCTCGTCGGAGCCGGAGAAGACATATCGATTGTCCAGCGACCAGGCCACACAGACCACATGCTGCATGCGTTTGGTGTGATAAATGTCACGCGAGTGGCTGTGATGGGCATTGTAAATGCGGATGGTCTTGTCGTAGCTGGCCGTGACGAATTCCTTGCCCGTGGGCGAGTAGTCCACATCGGTGACCGCGGAAACATGGTCAAAGTGCACCTTCAAGGGTGTCTGCAGCTTACGAGTGTCAAAGGTGTAAAGACTGGAAAGGATAATAAGGTTTTAGGGGGTTTTGGTGGTCAAGAAGTTTTGCTTTCGAATTGAGTATGGTTACAATTTCTAGAAATGACAATCAACTAAAGGAGTTTTATGAATTTAACACAGTATTATTGTTTTCATACTCCATTCTTAGTTAAGGTACCAAATTACTATCTAAGTTCTTCACTCACTTGCAATCCTCGTTGGCGACCGTGAAGTTGAACGCCTCCATGGGATTCCAGGCCAACTTGTTGCTCTTCATGGTGAGGACGACTTTCCGCAGTGGCTGCGCCTCCCGCTGATCGTACAGGATAATGCTGCGATCGCTGGCACAACAGGCCAGGATGCTCGTCTCCACGGGATTGTACGATATGGTGTGCAGCGTATCGACGCCCCACTTCAAAGTCTTCAGGGGATCGTTGTGCTTCTCGTCCCAGATGGCGCACACCTCGCCACAGGTGGCGAATTTGTTATCCTTGCGATTGTGCGAGATGCCGTGGAGGCCGAATTTACTCAGTATCGTGTTTACCGGCACCTCATCTTCGCCGACTTCCGGTGCCTCGGTCTTCCACACTTTGATGGTTTTGTCATCGCCCACGGTGAAGATGCGATCTCCATCGCGGGTGTAGGCTATACCCCGGACGAAACCATCGTGGGCCACAAAGTTCCGGGAACTTGTGCGATTGGCCAGGTCCCAAATTCGGACCTCACCGTCATATGCCCCAGTGGCCAGGCAGGATAGTTGCTTGGGATGCTTCCCAAAACAGGAGACTCCATCGCGATGGCCGCTTAAATTGCACACGAAGGGCTTGGCAAACACTCGGTCCAGTTTGGTGGCGTTCAATGCACGCACATATTCCCTGGGACCCTCCAAAGGATGCAGCGCTGGATCGTAGTTCCGTGGCACTGCAAATGGTTGACTATTTTAAACTGAACTTTTCTGCTTTTTTCAACTCACGTTTATGCTGCTGCAACTTGGTTTCCCGCACATAATTGTCCGGGTTGCGACTGATCATTTTCACCTTCATCCTGACAGCATTAATTGTAGTTTCTCGCGGCGCAAATGAAAATTATATACGATGTTGAAAATAAACAACATGTGCGAGTGACAGTGTTGCCCTACCGAGCAGCCATCAGCTGATTGGTACGGGTACAGCGTGTGGCCACACTATCCCAAAACATTTGGGGCAGCACTGAAATTCAAATTTTTAGAGGTAAAAATAGGAAAACCTTGTTTTCTTGTGTTTGCGAAGTTTTTTATTAAAGTTAAGTTTTTTAATTTAATTTTTTAAGTGGAAAATCGAGCTAAATAAATAAAAAACCTAAAATGGTTGTATGTTGCTATGATAGTTGCCTATTTATCTTATTTTATGCTTGCCGAAATGAAGCACCACTTCTTGTTTATTCAAGTTTTGACCGTAACATAATACTGAACAATTTCCAAGTTTGTTTAATACTTTTCAATCATTTAATATTGATAGCAACCAAAAACAGTGGCGATGCAAATAAAACTGCCGCCATCGTAGGTATATCGCTCATAGTCATCCGATAGCTCATCCCAAATGGCTCGGGCTCCGTAGAAACATCCAGCTCCGGTTTGCTGATATAGCACTACGTTGACCACGTGCTTGAATCTCGGATTGGATCCACGGCCCTTCATCTTCAGGTTGATCTCGTCGGCAACATCCCGGGTCCACTTTAGGGCGTCCGTTTGATTGTAGTTCTTATTGCCCAACTTTTCCTTGACCACTTGGGCTATCATGAAGCGAATGTAGGGCAACGGGAACTTTTTGCCAAATGCCGGGCCCATATTATAGAAGTTATAGATGGTGACATCTGCAGCCGGTTTCGCTTCATTTCCGGGCTCCAGTTCGTCCTCGGATAGACTGTTGGATTGTGCATCGGATCGGCTAATGTCGCTGACTCCGGACAAACGATTAGCCTCTCTCCCCACTGATAAGCTTCTAGTCCTAATTGCAGACATTTGAACGATATTTATAGCTTAGTGTTGGACGCACTCCCAGTTGTAAGTTAATGCTACTGATCGATCGAGCTCAATTATAAATACAATGAAATCCGACATGTGATTCCTGGGCATCTTTTTTTGTAAAAAAATCAAATTGTTCTATTCTCGTCTTTTGATTTGTTTCACGGGTGTATATATTTGAATATAAAAATTACTAAATAAAAAAACTAAATTTTTTTAAAAAAGTATAATATAAACATTTATTTATGAATATATTTTACTGTGAACTAAAATGAATTTATATATTCTTAATAAATTAAAAAAATAAAATATGTAAGCTTAGTTTAAAGTAAGTGCTATACATTCTTGCTTTTTAAAAAATTATTTTTTTTTGTTTAATTGGATAAATGGAAAAACAAGAAAGTGGTTGTGATTGGTTTTTATTTTTGTGTTAACATATTTTTGTTTTTTTTTTTTACACTTTTCATTGGCTAAATGAAGCAATTTTCCATTGGACAAAAGATTACAAAATTAACCTAACGCTAAGGAGTAACTGAGAAAGTGAAGCTTCAACGAGTTGTATGTCTGTATCGTCGGATGCGAGGCTGAAGTTTTGAGGAATTCTGAACGTAGGTGCCACTACTGGCTATCGAGGGTTCCTTGGCTTTCAGGGTAACCGCATCATCGATCTGCTTCTTGGCCAGCTCTTTTCCATCGAGCTTTTGCTGCTGAATTTCGTGGACTTTTCGCAGGCAGCAGCAATTCCTCAGGGCTTCGATAAAACACTCCACATTCCTGCTGAAGTTGAGCAGGTGCTCCTGGGAAATGGCGGACTTCTCCCGATGACAGCCCTCGTCGATGGCCACTTGGGCATGGAAGATGCACTCACTGGCGTGACTGAGGGTATTCTTCAGGTTGAAGATTTGCTGCTTCTTTTTCATCTGCATCTGGATGTAGCGAGCACAAAGCAACTCAAAGCGGCGCTGTTCACTCCGATACTCATCGAAAAGCTGATCGTATTTCGAGTGCAGCTGCTCTGTCTCACACTTGAGGACCTTGAGAGCTTTGTCCTTCTTTGCCAACTGTCGACGACTCTGGCGATGGGACACCGAGAGCTCATCGTACCTGCAGGATACATAACGATAATAAGTAATGCTAGCAATATTCAAAATTGAAAAATTAAATTATCATTGAGAAGAAATCATATAAAATTATCATAAAACCATGTACTTTTTTTCTTTTGAAGGTTTCGAAGATATTTGGTCCTTCAAGTATTTATAATTTATAATATTTATGCTTTTTTTTGAGAAGAAATCATATAAAATTATCATAAAACCATATCCTTTTTTTGCTTTTGAAGGTTTCGAAGAAATTTGGTCCTTCAAGTATTTATAATTTATAATATTTATGTTTTTTTTTTTGAAAATTTGTCTCGAATAAATATTTCAATTCATACTTTTATGTTCTGTAAATAGTTTAGTTTAACGTGATGATATTTGTGTTAACTTTGAGATGAAATCATAAAAAATTATCATAAAATCATATACTTTTTTTTAAGTGTTTACATAACAAACACCATTTCTTCGCTTTTGAAGGTTTCGAAGAAATTTGGTCCTTCAAGTATTTATAATTTATAATTCTTATGTCAAAATCATAATTTTATATTCTGTAAAAAGTTTAGTTAAACGTGATGACGTTTTCGTTCCCTGAAACTCACCGCTGTTGCATGAGCAGGGGACTGATGGAATTGTACAAGTCACCGATGGACTTGACATTCGATCCGCTGGGAATTTTGTCCTCGGGATCGCTGTCCCCGGAGCTGGAGGTATCGATTCCCCGGAGCAGCTGCACCAGCCGTCCGTTCCGCTGCTTTTCCGTATCCAGTGAGAACAATAGTTCGTTAACCCGTTCCGTCTGCCGATCGAGGGCCATCCGCAGCTTGAACTCCTGCTGCTGATCCTCGCGGATGGTGTGCTCCAGTTCGCTGACCAGTCGCAGGATCTGCTGGATGGTCTGCTGGTAAGGATTATGGGTTTTGGCCAACTGCACAGCAGCCGAGGCCAGGCAATCCTCGTCCGGGGAGCTGTCCTCTTCGTCCTCCGAGGGGATTCGAAGGCTACGTGAAATGGCGGAAGACCTTGAGGTGGAGCTCGAAGGGGAACTGTGACGCGATATGAACTTATGGCGGGTGGCGAACGGTAGGCTATCCGAATCCTTTCTTTTTGCTCCGTCCCCGAAGCCTAGACCTTTGCTCACACTCCTCAGGATGGCACTCAGGCTCATCCTTGGTCCTTTCCCAGGTCTTGTCGCTGTCGACGTCGTTGTCTCCGTCTTGTCACCTGGCTCTGAAAATATTCAGGCCTTGTGCCAGGATGTGTGCTACGGTTGTTTGTCAGTAATTCACTGCCTACTTTTCCCTACACTACTCAAAACTTAGAACTAAAAAAACATTGTTGTTTGTTGTATTCAATCAAAAAATCATGAGTAGTATAATTAAAAGAAATTCAAAAAACATATAAACATTACATATCTAAATTTTGAATAAAAATCAAATAATCATTAATAGTATATTTTTAGTTACAGCTAAAAAAACTTTTATGAAATACCTATACCTCAAATTTAATTTATTTTAATTAAAAAGGCAACAGCCAAATAAATATTTAAATAATATATTTTTGTTACCTTTTTAATTTTTTTAATTTTTAAATTGTATTATTATTTTTTTATTTTTTATATTTATTGTATGTTAATCACATAATAGACCTTCGCCGTTGTTTTTTGTAAGCTGATATTAATTGTAATTCTGTAAATTAAAATAAAAAAAAATATTGCTATGCCTTGTTTTAAAACTGTCTCAGTTTTTGGATTGTAAACATAGTTTTTGTTTACAATTTTTTGTAAGTACTGGAAAGTGTTTGTGATTTTTTTTGAGTACACTCACGGCCATCTGAAAGTTGCCTCCTCTCAGGCTCACTTTCCATATGGTTTCGCACAACTTTTTAAATTGGTTTCAGTTTTAACACCTTTGCATCCAGTTTCCTCGGCACTCAATCAAAGTTGTCGTTTCTCCGCCTCCAAATTCCTTCCTTCGCATATGTTTTTAGAGCCCCCAACTTTCCCCGATTTTCCCCGCTTTCCCTCGCAGGTTTCCTCTGGTGTTTGTTAGTCGTGCGTAAATTGCCATTAGCCAGAAAGGGTTTCCAAGACTTGATACACTTATTGCATTTTTATGGGCTAAAGTTTTGTTGCTTTTTCCTCGGCTTTTATTTCTTTTTTTTTTTGCTGACTGAGAGGCTGCATGTCTACTTGATTAAGGTAGAACTTGCTGGTGAATTTTTATTTTAAACTTGATTAATGAAGTTTTTCAGCCGGTAGCGAAAAATAACAATGTTAACAGATTTACTTTAAATTTATTTTCTATTACCAGGAAACAAGCGAAGCTGTTATTGGGTATGATTTCTCACAAATGTAGTGTCTGTCTGATACACATTGGCTGTCATTAGTTGAGTTGTAATTAGTTGGGGCTTGTCGGCCACGCAACTCGCCACAATGCTCATTTCCATTGTAATAAAACCAATCATGTTTTCCCTGATTCGCCAAGTCCGCACCCGAAGTCCAGTATATATCATTAATCTGATTTTTAAGCAGATATTGATTAACCAAATCCCATTCTTCGATGGTCTCAAAAGCTATTAGATGGGCGTTTATCCGATGACAAGTCTCGGATGCATCAAACCAGTTCTTCTTTTCCCTGGTGTCAATGTAATAATGGCCTTGACCGATTTTGACGAATGGATCTGTCATAATATTCAAGTAATCTTGTATTCCTGCATAATAGTTTGAGGTATTAAAAACATTACTGTGTTATTTATGTTAATATAATTACCATCTTCAATAAATGGTATCACTTGATAAGCTCCAACGAAATAAAGTAGCCCCAATATAACCAAGAGCACAGTGTATTTATCGAACATTTTCAATTACTGGTTAAAACATCGCTGAGCTAAGCTGCTTTATACCCCTGCCAGGTGCGCAGTTTTCTATTTATTTATTTTAATTCGCCTATAAGATTAAGACAATTGTCTCCCGTCAATATGTACTGTACACTGTACACTGTACACACTGCTATTGGCATGTAATTGTCAAGAAAAACAGAATTATCCGTATAATGTGTTGTTTCTTAGTATCAGAACATTGTTTTTTAAGCCCGTTACACGTATAGGAAAAGTATTCAATACTTTTTAGAAGTATGTCTCAGATAGAGGCAAGCGTTGCCGATCCTATAAAGTATATACATTCAAATATCCTGGATCAGGATCATAAGTAGGGTCGATCTACCCATGTTACTCCGAATATTCGTCCTTATGAACGGGAAGAGTTATGAGCAATTAGTTTTAGTTATGGTTTCACTGCATATTTGAAAACAGGGGGTTTGTATATTTTAGCATACGCTTTTTCGCTCAAAAAAATGTTATTTGGATTGGGGGCTTGAATCCTGCTTTTATTTAGTCGAACGCTTACACATTTTTCATCACAAAATTTGATATCTGATATTTTATATGTTGAAGGTGCGATCACTACGACTTTTTTACCTCGTTAAAAGGTGTTTTTGTTTGATATTATAATAGTATAAATTCTAACTGAAAATTTTTATTTTTCTGTATAGAAATGAAACTACAAAGTATTGACTTTATATTATTTAGTATTGAATTAATACTTATTCTTTAATACAGCCTTTTGTTTATTTTCAAGTATATAAGTCGGAACAGGACGGATCAGACGACTATATTATATAGCTCCCACAAGTACAATCAAGACTAGTAAAAGAATAACAGTAAAACTTCGTTGTTTTTAGATTTATACTATTGTAAGATATAATAAAGAACGACATGGTTGTAAAGTGAAGAAAGCTGGTAACATTTTGAGTAAACGTTTAATATAATGGTTGGTGTTTCTCTAAAAATAATAATTAAATTTACTTTTTCAGTTATATAAAAAATACACTTCAATAATATTTTATTCAGTATGCATTTTGATTCAATATTTGTTTATTATCTTTAACACGATTACCAAATAACAAACGAGGCTGTCTTTGGATATAATCTTTCACATATGTAGAGTTTGGCTGATTCACAGTTCATGTCGTTTAACACATTATAATTGGTTGCAGACCTTCGGTCCCCCAGCGCGTCACAATGCTCGATCCCATTTAGATTATTTGGTTCTCCCGGATACCAGATATTTAAAGTTAATGGTTGACCAGTTGAAAACCAGTCATGTTTTCCCCGATTTGCCAAATCGGCACCTGAAGTCCAGTACACGTTATCTATACCATTCTTAAACAGATACTGATTTACCAAATCCCATTCTTCAATGGTCTCAAAAGCTACTAGATAGGCGTCCATTCGATGGCAAGATTCGGTTGCATCAAACCAGTTTCTTGCCGTTTTGGTTTCAATGTAATAATAGCCATGGCCGATCTTAACGAATGGAGCTGTTGTAATGTTCAGGTAATCTGGTACTCCTTCAGAAAAATTTCAAGAATAACAAACAATATTCTGTAGTTTTTATAAACAATATTACCATCTTCAATCGCTGGTATCACTTGAAAAGCTCCAACGAAAGAAAGTAGGCCCGAAAGTGTCCAGAGCACAGTGTATTTTATGAACATTTTGCGATAACTGATTGACACCCCATAGAACTGATCAGTTTTATACCCTTCGAGCTGCGCAATTATTTGAGAAAACCTTTGTTTATTTTAAGATACCTCACAAAGATTACAACCAAGTGTTTCCTGCCAATACTTACGCAAAGCTCTTGAAAATCAGGAAATACGAGTAATTAAATTTATTTTGATAAACATCTAAGGAACAACAAATAATACCAGAAAACGTTCTAGATATATGTTAGTACAAAGTAATTTAACGTTTTCTGTCTTATAAAGGAAAAATATGTTCATTGTTTACAATTGGTACTTAAAGGAGAAGAAAATAAAATTTATAATGCAGTGTTGATTTATTGAATTACCGTTTTAAGTATAAAAAGTTCTGTGACTTCTTTTTGTCTATATACATAAGATGTTTTTTAAAAAAATGCACATTTACTTACAAAATACTTCGAGTTATAATTATTTTTATATTTGTATTTAATTTCCGGTAATAGTTTTTTGTTGACTGTGTTATTAAATTTTTGCAGAGATATATCATATTATTATAAAGCCTTTTTATTTCTCTTTAGTTTGTTCAAAACGTATCTTATCTGTATGGGATGATAAGCAACCTGCAGATATTGCTCAAAAGCAAACTGCAGTTACAAGCTTTTATTAAACAACAAAAGCCATACATGGAATTTTCTCCTAGTGTTTTGCAAGCGTTAAAAAAAACGTAAACATTTGTATTTTCTCTCTTAGGTTACCTCCTTTCTCTTTTTGATTTTTTTTTGTTGGCTCTCTGTTACTCACTGATTGTCTTTTGTAACAGCTGAGCTGCAGTTTGGAAATTTTCGTCAGTAAAGCTTCGTCAACGCTGGCGGCTGGCCGCTTTCAAGAAATATTTATACAAATTTATAATAAATACAATAAAAAAAAATTAATCGAATTTAAGCAAGCAGAGGAAGATAATGGCGCGTTTGATATCGGGAGTCCGTTCTTTATTCCGTCAATATCCATTCGTCACCAATAGCGCCATCTATGGGAGTCTATATGTGGGCGCCGAATACTCGCAGCAATTCGCATCCAAACGCTGGCTGGCCGTAAGTTATAGTAATCTAGTGTAGAATGTGGGGAATACGGGGATGGGATGTACCCGAGGAGTATCTGGCGATTTCTAATCAGATTTATGTACCTTGTAGCCGGCGGCCGAGCGCGAGGATATCGATTATGCAACAATAGGAAGATATGCTGTGATGGGCACCGCAGTCTATGCCCCAACCCTGTACTTTTGGTTTGTGCCCACCAAATAAATAAATTTTACATATGTACTTTTATTTGTATATAAAAAACAGCAGGGGTCAACGTAATAGCTCTAAGTTTTCTTTGTTTATTTTAATATTTATCTATGCAAACATTTTTTTTCTATTAAAAACATAAAAATATTCAGAAAAAAAAAATATTTAACAACCCTATCTATAGATTCTTACTTAGCTAAACTTTGATATAATCTCTTACAAATTTTAAGTTCGGAACTTATAGATAATTTCACATAAAACTTTAGAAAATAAGAATTTATTTTTTAAAATATGTTTCATTAATTAAAAAAAATTTAATTTTTTGTAATTTCTTTAAAAAAATTGAAAGTATATTGACTTTATATTACCATATTTTTTACTTTTTATTATTAGACGTCATTCATTCAATTGCAAAATTAGAGTTTTAACGGAAAAACAATCAAAGTTATTATCTTGACCGCAGTTGTGTCTGCACACTCACACATCGGTGAACCAGTCAATTTACTTACATTTACATGCTCGCCATTTAACCATTCTTTTTATTTCCTCAATTTGCTTCGCCGTACGCTTCTGTTGTTGTTTTCGACTTTTATCAATTTGTTTACAATTTCGTAAAAGCTCCACGAGCACGTGTCGCAAAGTCAAGAGCATGTCTCTTCGCCACTCACTTTCTCTTCACACTTTCTCTTTAGAAGCACCATCTGCCACCAGAGCACAAAGCTTTTCCTCTAAGATTAAAAAGAGGGGAAAGCTATCGAGAAAAGCACGCAACGCACTAAGCAATTGAGGCATATGTGCACGACCATAAAAAGCAAAATGCAATGTAAGTTATGAATGATAAAGTATAAAGGAAATCAGCTAAGAAGAAGCACCAAAACCAACACCAAACAATAAAAAACAGAAAACACACAAGGATAAATAAACACGCTGAAACCAGAAAATACACAACGATATACATACACCAAAATTGCAGGAATACGAAATATATATATATATAATTAACACTTACTAAAAAATTAACACCATAAACTAAACTCAAACGTACATGTAAATAATTTGTATTTCAAAAACAAATGATTAATGATTAGTCCACAAAGCAATCTATAAACTTTACAAATTCTTACTCATCTTGCCTGCTTCTGCATTTTTGATTAAATCAAAGGTGAATAAAGATTTATTTTACACTAATTCAATTACAAATTTCTTAGGTATAAATGGTTAGATCGCGTTCTTCCCGGCACTACCAAAATCGTTATAGTAAAAAAATTGGTATTGGATCAATTTGTCTTAACGCCATATCTACTGACTGTGTTTTATGCAGGTAAGTTGCTTTATCGTTTTTACCAAAGTTTTTATTGGCTAATCAGTTGTTTGAAATATCTATTATTAAAGCATTGTAATATTATAGGCTCCTGTAAAAAGAGTATTTAACAACTTTCCAGAATAATACATAATAATATATATGTATTTTCAAATATTTGAAACTTTTAAAGTTTTGCTTTATAATAAATATAAATATAAGTTTCGCTTAACTAAAACATAACATAAAACATTTTTACAGCGTTATTTTACAACAAAACTAAAAGTTCCTTTTCAAAAATATTTAATTTATACAAAAAAATCAATTAGAAAATGAAGTATTTTGGTTTTTTAGATTGCCTTGAAATTTTTAATATTTGATTTTTATATTTCTCAACCATTTTGAATAGTTAACAGCATGATGGAGATTCGATAAGTAATGTGTTCTGTGTTCTGAAAGTCTTATATTTCTCTTAAATTAAAAAGCTAATATTAATTAATTTAAAAAATAAAGACTAAAGTGCATTTTTTTTAAGGCATGTCCATTATGGAGGGCTCTGAGGATACTTTCCTGGAATTGCGCGAGAAGTTCGTGCCGACCTTCGTGCGTTCTTGTGTTTTCTGGCTACCCGCTCAGGCATTGAACTTTTCCTTGGTGGCGCCCCGATTCCGAGTTATTTATATGGGTGTTTGCGGTCTGATCTGGGTGAATATTCTGTGCTGGACCAAGAGGCAGAGTTTACCGGTCGTCACCAAATCAAACGCAACCGAATCAACAGCAACTGTGGCTTCCATAAGGAAGCCCGAAATATAGAGTTAACATATATGTACAGAATAAACCCGTGTACAAATTCTTAGTTAGATTTTGACAATGCATTGCCAAATAAAGACAGACGCGAATATACTTCTAGTTGGTGTTTATTGAGTTATTTGTTTAACCTGGTTGCAATGCGTTGGCATACAGTGCGTATGATTGATGTTCCCATAAACGGAAACTCATCAATTACTACTTACCCTCTATTCATCTCTATTTGAGAGTGTGTGTGTGTGTGTGTCTGCTGCTGATCAGCGTTTGTAAACGTGTTTAATTGTGTGCCTGTGTGCGTAAATGTTTCCATCAATATTTGCCACACACAAACTGAAACAACAACAAATAAAACCATCTCAGATTCAGATATCCTACTTCGATAAAATGGCAACTATTGTGCCAAATGCGAAAGGAAATTTGTGGGCCAGCCGTAAAAACGCCTTAATGTATTTGGTTGGTAAATGAATTCTTCCTGGGATGGGGAAATTAGAGATGAGATTTATTGGGATATAACCTTTAGTTAAACTTTGACTTTCTCCACACTATTTTCGAAAAACAGAGATTAAGATTAAATAAACATACATTTTTTAATAAAATTAATTTGAACTCAATATTAACTATTATTATTAAATGAAAATTGAGTATGAAAAGAATCACACCAAAAAAAAAAATAAAATTGTATCGCGAGAAACGTGCTTAAGACAAGGTAAAATAAATGATTTAAATTAAGTCCGTCAAAAAAGCCTAAAAAATAGTCCAAGGCAACAATATTGACTTTTTAAAAATTGACTTAAATCCTTTTAGATAACCATTACTCAGCCAACAAACGCCGTCAATCTTTCCGAGGGACTGAAACCACTTGCAACTAGCTTACAAAATTTCGTAGCAAATAAGAGTCGCCCTGCACGTGCTGCATTATTCGTCTGCCTTTCTCATTGACATCTTCCTAAGCCTTTGTATTCTACCCATACCTCATCCTCAACCATTAGTTACCAAGTTTATGGTACCAAACACAGCATAATTCAATTTTCGTTGTTCAAAATTATGAGTATAGTGTTAATATAAGGACAAATATTTAACTCTCGATGCCGATTTTCGGGTGGAATGCAAACTCTTAAATCGTTGGTGGTTTCAGCAAACCAGGATATCTTCGCATTAGACTTCCTTGGCTATTTTTGACAAATATAAACTTTATTTTCAATCTCCAAATTTTTGTTAACCCCTTTACAGTCTGTACACCTTTAAAGTTGTGCAATAGAGTCATTACTCGCTGCTATATGCAAGGTTCAAAGGCCCGAACTAAGTATTATAAAAATATACATAGTATTCTAAACAAGTTGTAGATTCTGTCCCTATAAAAGTAATTTTTTATAATATTACAACTATAATAAATCTTAGAAAAACGTTTTGTGTTGAAAATGATTCTTATTAACAGCTTTTAAAACGTTTAAAATTTAAAAACATTATAATTTGTAAAATTGAAATTATTGTTATTTAGCTTTCTTTTTTGAATAAGACTGCCTTAAAGCTTATTGATGTTAGCATTTATGCAGAAAATGATCATAATTCATCATTTATCCTGGACATCGCAGTCTAATTTATGTCACAAGTTTTTGCCAGCCATTCGTGGCTAA